GACAAACAGTGTCATCCACTTTCGATGTTTCTGATGCGTACGACATGACCAAGACTGGATTATACTCCATAGCAGTCGACACTTACTTAGAATATGTAAAGGGTAGTGTAACTGAAAAGCCAGTGAGCCAGACTAAGATAGAACATTTATTGTCCCCTGTAGTAAGTTATGAAATAGATAAAATGAATTTTATCAAGGGAACCTCGGGTCAAAGGGCGCGCACTGAAGAAAGCGTGACCAAGGATGCTTTGGAAGACCATATTTTTTACGTCAAAAGAGGTCAGGACCTGAAGGCATCTCTTAAATATAAAATAAAGGGAGGGTCCCCTGACGTGAAAAGGGAAACAGAACTTGCTATTGTAGCTGTGTACAATTACGTTCAGTCAGCCGGTCAAGACCTTGAAAATAATCCCCCAAGAACTAAAACTTGGTTTGGATCTTCTCCCACTGACAAACCCAAGTGGGTTTTTGATAAAATGGAACGAGTATTATCAAAGGATAGATTTGCTTACATTATTGGCGGAAGAGAGTGCGATGAAGATACTTACGCTTATACAACATTTGGAGCACGACGAATGTTCCTTTGCAACTTGTACAGCATCGCCGACCCACTGATTGGGTATGACACAAAATTGGGAATCATAATTCATGAGTTAAGCCATGCAGTGGCTCGTAGGGACGATATAGTATACGGCCAATATAGTTGTAAACAGCTCGCTATAAAAGATCCAAAAGCCGCTCGGAATAATGCTGACAATTACGAATATTTTGTGGAAAGTGGAACAATTTCGAGTCTATAATCAGTTCATGACCCATTAAACGCCTTTGGGAAGGGTTAGTAAGGGGGGAAGGGGAGGGTGGGGGGCTTTAGCGTTCTATAACAAGTTACACTACAACGATCGATATAATATCATTTTCAAGTCGTAATTGTGTGAAAATGTAGAAATTTAATTGGTTAAAGCGTGGAAAAAGATTAAAAGGGGACAACTGCCATGAACGTACTGGTTAAACTTAAACGGATAAAACTTTAAAGGGGTTAAACTTTAATGTTAAGGGTTGTATTTTGTACCTAAGAGAAAGTAAGTAAAACATGTCTTAACTTGTCTTAGGAAGGTATCAATAAAGGTTTTTTTCGGGGAGGTGCTTTTTTCTAAATGTAGGTATGCTAGGATAAAAGAAATGCCGTTTTTCAGGGAGGGTAGACACTGTTTACAAACGAGTTCGGAAAGTAAATTAGTGTTTATAGGAATGAAACATGGAGCAATGCTGACTCACCGAAAGTGTACCTATGCACCTGAGGCACAAAGTAATGAAAATTTATGTGAAATCGTAAAACTTCTGGTTTTTATTTTTTGAAAAGAGCAAAAACCTCAACTTTGAGACTATACTCGTGACTTGTAACTCTTTCATTTGGGAATTGTGAAGGATACTTTGCCCCGGCATAAATTTTGTTAAAATTCGCACGTGAGAAGGAATGAAAAAGCTCTTTTTTTTTGCTGTACCTTAAGAGAGATGGTGCCCACCTGGTGCTAGAGGCCATAACGTGTTAGGAGAAAAAGAAAGAGCAAGAAAAAAAAAAAAGAGAGAGAGAGAGAACGTCGATGTAAAAGTCATAACGTGTTTGTCCTTTGTGAGACGTTCGGTGGGCTTCTGTACAATCAACCTTTCAAATTCATTTGCACACCTTAATCATAAATTTAATAGAAACAGCCGACTTTCTTTTATCGTATTAAAGAGAGTGACTAACATCTAATTTATCCCCACAATGTCAGCCCTGAATCACATACTGAGGTCACGAAATTAAAGGAAATAATCACCAACTTGATTGTTAAACAACTTCTCCTTGTCAGCACCTCAGGAAATGTATAGAAAACAGTGTGGAGAACGAGCATTGCAAATATTATGCATTGTGAATTGTTTCCTCTTGATTCAACTCATTGTTTCTAATTTTGTATTCATCGCTGTTAACTGGCTGAGGCTTGGCTGTGTGGAGTGTTTTTACTAAGTTAAAACAATCAGTTTATACTTATTTTCATCATCAAATCGTGAAAGGCAGTCAAATCTGAGAATGAGACCGCTTTTAAGTCTGTTTGACAGTTTTAGGTCTGTCGTGTTTGTGAAACATAGTCACGTATCGCCGCAACAACCAAAGGATCTTTGATCAGCGAAACTATTCTAAATATGAGGATTTTAGTGACGCTACAGCTTTACAATAAAGAAACAAGAAATATAATCTCTATTCTAATCTACTTGGTGCATACCAACGATGATTTGTAATCAAAGACCACATTCCTCGCGCTGTTAAACCGAAATGGAGACTTTTGTCCTTACAACGCTTTGCTGGAGTTTCTTGTTTTTCACGGTGTCTGTGGCAAGTCGCAGAACATCGGTACATGATAAATGTCGAACGACGAAAGGAAACCCTCAGGAAAACAAGTGCAGTACAGTGATAAATGGAAACTATTACGCGGGAACTAACGAGGAGATGCAGACCGTTCTTCAAGGAATTCAAGCACAGCTTACTGACCTACAAGAACTTCTGCGTGATATGAAGATAGAGAAAGAAAACAAAACTGGTAAAAATTTAACACTAATGTTTTCTGTTTATTAAAGAGTGTTTCGTTAGAACAACTTGTGATTAGTTCTCTTTGTATTTTTTCAGGATAAACTTTTTCTACTGTTCAAACAGAGAAGTTCTAAAATGTTTCAATTGGTACATTTCTCATCAAAATTGATTTACTCAGATGAATCTACTCAGTCTTGAATATTTTGTTTCCGTGGTGCTTATGTCTACTTTGATGAATCTTTCAAATATGAAATTGATTCAATCTTTCCCTTCTTGTAGTCAAGAACCGAAACTGCGCTGACCTTTTCGAGTCCGGTGAGAGAATCAGTGGAGTGTACACTATAAGCCCGGATAGCAGCCGCGGTCCTTTCGACGTCTATTGTGACCATAAAACAGCCGGTGGAGAATGGACAGTGATTCAGAAAAGATTGGATGGCTCAGTAGATTTTTATCGCGGCTGGGCCGACTACAAGCGCGGTTTTGGTAACTTGAACGGCGAGTTCTGGCTCGGTTTGGACAAGATGCATCAGTTGACTAAGGCAGGTAGGAACATAATTCGAATAGAGCTGGAAGGGAAAAACGGCCTACGCCGACTACGACATGTTTGCAGTGGCAAGTGAGAGAGCTAAGTATCAACTGAGCCTTGGAACTTACTCTGGTAAGTACATCAATGTTTGATGAATAACAAAATACTTAAAAAACACAGTAACCCGAAGATAAGATCTCGCGGCACGGTCCAAAGTATAAATAAAATTGCGCGAAATAATTTATATGAACTCCAGACATTTTTTTTTTCATTTTAGCACAAACAATCTCGTCTGTGGTTTCTCTATACACTGTGGGATGAACGATTTAATAATCTTAAGTCGAGCTAGTAGCTCATCCTGTTATGCTAGAGCCGAAGGAAACCTTTGAAATAAGCGTAGTACGCTTTAATTGGATATCAGATGATAACTGTTCGCATTACAAGTTACACAGAAACTCATTAGCGTGTCTGCGTGGGCCAATTAACACTAGTTATTCCATCAAGTGGATTTGTAGCAAAGAATTTAAAGGTCAGACAAGAAGAATTTATCAACGTATCCATTTATCCGCAGGTACGGCTGGTGATTCTTTCTCCTTCCAGCGTGGTGCTCCTTTCTCAACTAAAGATCAGGACAATGATCCTGATAAACGTCACTGCGCTAGAACGTTTAAGGGAGGCTGGTGGTACAGCTTGTGTCGCCATGCAAACCTGAACGGTTTGTACCAGCCTGGGCCGCATTCATCTAAGGCTGATGGTATTAATTGGTATCACTGGAAAGGAAATTACTATTCGGCCAAGAGATCGGAGATGAAAATAAGGCCCGTAAATTTGTGAGTCTTCTGCCATGTACGGAGTTGTCAACTGCTTATGAATAAAATTCAATGGATCATATTTAAATTGCCTTCATTTTTGTGTATGTGTAACGTGAAAGAGAGTTGCGACGAGAGGAGTTTGCTTGAGGAAAGTACGTTACGTTGCTATGAGTGGGTTAAGGATCTGGCTTTCATCGCAACTCCCTTTTCCTCTCTTGTTACATCTGAGGATTGTGAATAAAAGGAGATAAAGAGCGGTCTCATATCTAGTGTCGAAAGCTATTAAAAGCTATATCTCCAACTTATATTCTACAAAACTCGCATAACCATCGAGATCGATGTGCTCCAACTTTATCAAGCGTTACTTCCTCGCTTGAGTATTCTTGTGCAATGTAAGATGATCTTCATGGATTTACTTTGAGTTGAGGAATTTAACCATTTTGGAATTCGATGTTTTGAATTCTATTGCGTCGGAGGCGGCAATCTTGTGCAAGCCTCTAAACACTTTACAATATGAAAGAGAGAGAAACAAATATTTCAAATAAACAAAATGTGTCTAAAAATCCGAACTGGCAGGAAGCAGACCAGTTAGCTATTAACACAGCGCAGCTGAGCAGTTGAACTCGGGGCGACCAAGAACAACTTCAGTGAGTGTCAGGGAGGAAGACTTGAACCCAGAACTACCATACAGCACTATTTAAATTGTAAATTGAATTAAACTGAACTTTCATTAAAAAGAGAAATATCTTTTTAACGTCCTGGACGTCCAACTAGAAATAACTGACTTTGATTATGGCGACGTTCACCGTGAAAGGGTATATGATGCCATAAGAAAAAATCAGTTGTCATCTGCCCTGAGTGTTGATGATTTGAACCATAATCCGAATAAAACCTAATAATTAAGGCCAAAACTAAACTGACGCGAGAACTTTACAGAAAGGCGAGCGAAATTCGCGAATTTATGAATATGAGATACCAAAAAATGATAAAGCAAACATGTATCAGCAAGTTGATTTGAGACTCTTTAATCACTCTTCAGTAAGAATCATTCCCTCCCCTTTGTCTACGATGGCATTTCATTTTCAAATGCCCTTTTACGGAAATTTCTTTAAGCTACTTGGAAACTAACATCAGGAGAAGAAAGATAAAATAGTTCACTTTCTTCCGGACTTCCAACACTTCCCTTGACATACTCCAAATACAAGTCTACTGCAACAGTGTATTCTGCGGCCTTAGTAGTGTTGTATTCAGAAGAAAGATCGAACTTTGATGAGACGGTTTCTCCAGGAGCAATGGTCAAGAAATCGCTCGCAGCTGGATCTTCACGTTTCATTCTGATACCTTGTGGACTCAGCTCTTCCCCGTCTCGGCTGACAGTTAGACCGTCCAAGGCTAAGTCGTTCAGCGGTGTATTCCATTTTAGCACCGAATATGCGCTTTCACCGTTGTTTGCCAGGTTGAAGTCGCACATAACTTCGTCTGTAGTTTTGTAACAGGAAAGACACTCGATGGAAGCAGAAAATAGTCTGAACAAAGACAAATAATTATTAATATAAGTTGAGTTTTCAAAATATTGAAAGATAGTTTTCAAACGGTTGAGTTCCCCTTGGGAATCTTAACAAGCTGGTATTGGTAGATTTTTCAGACATTTTTTAAGAAAGAAGACAACACGTTATATTTTTAAGTCACGTTTCAACACTTCTATTGTCATCCTCGGTTTTTTAACGCAGAGTAAAACGTTGCAATTTTAATGTTAAACAGAACACTAATTTGTTATAACCTCAAAAGGACAAAGTAATGCTAAGAAGATAGCTAATGATTTAATTTAATGTGTGTTGCGTGAGGGAAAATACCAATTGTTTACGCAGAAATAACAGGCATTAGAGCCGACGCACATTACAGCCCTATCGGGATAGAATCTTTCATGACAAACACATTACCGATTTCGAAAGATCAAAATGCTTCTTGATGTCTAAACTAATAGAATTTTGATGATACGACTCTCAGCTCATACCTTTCCCTTAAGAGGTGACTTGTTCTATTTCCTAACTTCATTTACCACTTACATATTTATTCTATATTTTCACTTACTGCACATCCCGTGCATCCTCTGCTTTCGAATGTGCTGCTGATGCAGCCACAAGAGTTGACCAGAGTAAAAACTTTGCAGTCATCAGGATTTTCATCTAAAACAATAGGTATATTATGGAAATTAAATGAACAGATTATCAATGTTACGAACACTGAAATAAGGACACTTTTCTTTACATAACGACATTAAAACACCGTTGCTTTGAAAAGCATAATTTAACAAGGATTTTTTTCAGGAATATCAAAAATCAAAGGGCGGAATTTCTAAACCAAAAGTTTCAAGGACTATAAGTTTTGAATAAGAGAGATCGAAAGACAAAAACGAAAAATGATTCCGGAAACTGATGGAAAAAAAAACTTGGGCTTTTGAAGTTTCATAAAAAAACCATTAAGGGAAGTTGAGTCATTAAGGTGTACTGGCCCTAGAAAAGGCTGATTGAAATAAAATAATTACAGTCACGAAATAAATAATGTTTTTTTTGTTCGGCTCCAGACAAGGGCAGCTGAGTTAGAACCTCGTCAACATATGGAACTCGTCCCCTCCAAAGTATCGCTTAAAGTAGGACCACGTTTGAAAAATGCAACGAAGAAGGTCTTTTCAAAACTTATTATTACCAGGAAAGTTTAATCCAAAATTTATCATCCCTGTTATGATTACGAACCACTAATGTTTAAATGACTGGTTTTAAAGTAAGCTTAAAAAAAAAACCTAGGAATCATGGCGAGCTTTGAGTACAAATTGAATTGATGTCACTGGCCGTACGAGGATTAAGGGCAAATTGTTATGAATCATCGGCAGGATACAATTGGGAATTAAGATAACATAACCATAGTTAAACACAAAGTATCATGCGAAATGAGGATTGCTAAAGTACCGTTTTTCTCAATTTAAATTACACGAAACACTTTCCATTAAGTTACAATTAGCAGCCCGAGTACGTGGCTGAAAACTGTTAATGGCATCTCTCGCGCCATTTTTTTGTTAGTGATTTTGAATTTGAAATTTGACCTGGCGTCGATCTACGCCTTCGGAAGGCTAGACGCAGTTCTCTTAGAAACATTTCATGAAGACATACTCGGCAAACCGACCATGCGACTTTAAAAAACAGAACCTCTAATTAATAATAATGTTCCTTCCAAATTTTCGCTCAAAGTCAGCCTCATACTGTTGATATCAGTTATCTGAAAATATTCACCTCATACATAACTGGCATGAAATGGTATCTCGTACACTTTTTTTGGTGATTTTTTAATTTTACGGTTGACGCTGGCGCGCGCGTCAATAGACGCCTTTCGGAAGTGCGACAGGTAACTGAAACTAGGTGCAATTTCCTTTCATTTCAAAACTGTTGCATAAAGTCCTCACCAATACTGATACAAATTATCTGAAAGCTTTCACTGTATACCTGGGAAGGAAATTGCAAAACTGACGGAGGAATACCGATAACTAAAAAGTTATGCGTAGAATTGTAGAAGAGGAAGTTACAAACGAAACTGCTTGGTTTATTAGCGTATTAAAAACAACCATTAAGGGAAAATGAATAAGACATCTACTCTAAGACGCAGAGTCACCGTTGTTACGCAAAAAGAAGAATGCCCTGAGTACAGCTTTTCTCTCCAAAGTGTCTCTCAAGGACTCGGTACACTTTCTATACAGTTACCACTACATTTACCCAAGAAGTAGCAGAAAACCCGGAAGGGAATTTCTTATACTCGATCTTTGTAGTAGTTGAATTGACACTGGAAAACCAAACCTATAGCTAAAACTAGGCGCAGTTTCGTTTCAAAATCCAGATCAGAGGACTTTCTTGAATAAAAGGCTATTCGTGAAATACTTTATAACAAAAGCTCTTAGAAAAATAATGTTTGATTACAATATTGTCACTTAAAGCACTGTGTGCTGTTAGTGTCAGTCAAACGGATTGGGAATGTAGAAACCAATTCTCAATATACATTAGCAAGAAAACATATCCTCTTGGTTTTAAAAGGCATGAAAAAATGGAGCGTTTGCCTTTTTACGTTTCGTTAAGAAAACATAAAAGGATATTGTTTGAGTACTTAAAATTAATTAAAGTTACTTTTTGAAACATTTGTATCCTTGGACACAGCGCCGTTGTTATGGAAGAAAGAATGCTTTTGTCAACTCTAATACCTGATCTTTTAAGAGTCCATTTTGTCGCCTTTGTTGGCTCTTTTTCCTTGTTCGATAATATAGTTCGTTGCCTAAAAAGCACAAAACTAGGAGGTAACTGAAACTAGCCGATGAGAAATAATCTTTCTTTTTTCTGATCTCGTAAAGGCATAAGGGAAAATACGTTAAACAACCGCGCACACAGCAGCAGATTTCTCAGACACATCATGGTTGCTATGGGAAATGATGAATGCGTCACGAAACTGCTTGCCTTTCATTAGTCAGGTGTTCCTCAATAAAAGTGCTGCTCACACTTTGGGGTTATGAGTTGTGCCACTGAACTTATGCGAAACACAGAGCTAGGTAAGCTATCTCTAGTCTCATTTAAATGTTATTTAATTGTTTACAATATCATACACTACATGCTATGCTATGCTAAGGGCTATGCCTTTTCAATTTCTTTTCATAAAGGATATATCACTCACAGTCTGGCTAACGATTACTAAAAAGTTCTCTTTCTTTATAGTTCGCCATGAAGTTTCTATGGATTCTTTTGATTTGGGGTCTGACGAATGGTATAGAAAGCGCTCGTCTTCACACCTCTGGCCACAGGTAAAGAGGAGGCTTCTTCTATCGTAGAAAATTAATATATAAGGATTCAACAAAAATACAGCTTTCCATTCGAATTACCGGTACCCATAGAGGGGAATGCCAAAGACCGGATCATTCTATAAATCAATGTAAGGGTTCTGATCACTTGATGAGCTCCATGGTATTTTATCTACTACGCCAAGACAAGTGTCAGATTAACGTTTTCTTTCGTATTTGCTTTTGTGTGTGGTGGAGCAATGATAACGTAAATGAAGCCAGAGCTACAACTAATGATTGGAGTTATATTTTACGCAGGATCTTCTCCTCCCGGCTCCTCTGTGCACCGAAATATCGAACTACTGGCAAGATTGAATGTCAGTTCCATTTGAGAAACAACGGTAAACAAGACTATTTAGTCCTTAAATGGCGTACACCGCTGGATGGACTGAGATCAGATTGTCTGACAGTCACTACCAATGGCAAGAAGCTACAATACGATGGTATTTACCCGAAGCGCTCCGCTCCAGGCCCTGATCAATACTTGCTCGTCAAAGCTGGACAAACGGTGTCATCTACGTTCGATGTTTCAGATGCGTACGACATGACTAAAGCCGGTCTCTACTCTATAGCAGTGGACACTTACTTAGAATATGTAGCGGGTAGGTTATCTGACGTGCGGTTTACCCAAACTGAGATAGAACACTTATCTTCCCCTGCTGTAAGTTACGAAATTTCCAAAGGAAGCTTCATTGAGGGAACCTTCAGCGAAAGAGCGCGCCCTCTCAAAAGAACAAATCAATATTCCATGAGAGGTTCTTCTTCGGAAGACGAGTCTTGTCCCAAACTGGAGCATTTTGTGGGAGTGGCGCCCGAAGCCTTAAAATTAGAAACAAAAAAAGCCTTCGAGGCTGCGGTCCAAAACATGAAATCAGCCATTAAATGTCTTAAAGATAATCCCGCAAAGGGAAAACCTTGGTTTGGTACAGCCACTGAGGACGCAAAAATTCTGTTGAAGAAAACTGTTGCAATAGTAGATGACAACTGGCATAAAACGTTTCATTTTGGAGGGGATGAATGTTCAAACGAAATCCTGGCATACAGTTTTCATGGAGCTTGCACTTTTTACCTCTGTAAACTGTTCAGCGAGCAGAAAACGGATACTGGTTATTACAGTAAAATGGGCATTATAGTTCATGAACTGACACACGCCATAAGCAACACCACTGATGACGAGCACGGCCCAATAAGGGTACAAAAACTCGCCAAAGCCAGTCCTAAACGCGCTGCCTTAAATGGTGCTAATTTTGCGCATTTTGTGGAAAGTTTAACCATCAGTAAGTCATGCAAAAGTTTCTGATCACTTGGCAAGGTTTGGATATTGTTCGAAAGAGGTTCGATAATAGTCCAGAATTATATGTAAGGCTGGGGATTAAATGATTGAGCTTACGTAACGAAAAGGGTTAAGTAGGCCGGCTTCCATTTAAATCAGTATTTAAAACGATGTAAGCCTTTTAAAAGGCGTTGCTCTGGAGATAAGGGAATAAAAGTTGTTGGCGTTTAAACGATAACGTTTCAGTTTTTCCTTCCGTTTCATGGGGAGATGTCTAAGCCAGGTAATCAAATATCGAAAAATATTCTTCCAGGCGATTATCGTATCGTATATTAGGTAAACCTCACAATATGTCTCTCTTGAATAGGCGTCAGGGCAGGAAAACTGTGGACAAATTGTGACTACAGACATGGAGCACCTAAAATCGAGAGGTTACTTAAGAAAAAAAGGGCAAACAATTTGCTGGGGTGAGAAGAAACACAACTGTCAACCTTTTTTAGATCCTAGTTGGGCGCTGTTAGAGGGTACTTCTTTCCTACAACGGAATCTGATCACAATTTTCTAGCAAAGAAACGATCTTCGCATTCCTTTTCGTTGATTCGTATAAGGTTAAAGATAACAATGATCCGCACAATAAAATTCAATTTGGAGTTTTTTTTGTTCTAAAATTTCCAAGTGTGTGAAGTTTTGAGTGTCAGTTGTGTCTATTTGGCTAATGACCAAGATATTTGTGTTCCAAAGCTCTCCTTTCTGTTGCAAATAACTTAATTTTTTCATAAGTTTCATTATAAACCATGGAATTTATGCATTGAGCACGTTTATCACTATCAACTTACCTTCTCCTTTTTTTTTTCTTCGTTTAAGAACAGACCAGTTGTAGTTGAATGACTGTTGAACCGTCGAAGCTAAGAGTCAGCTTTGAATCACTGCTCCTATGAAAAAAAAATGGTTATTCATCTATTCCTAAGACACAAAAGAATTTTTCTCCGCATAGAGACAATTTAAAGTCCTGTAGGCATGCTTATTAAAAGTTATTGCTTCCAATGGAGATATTTACCCTGGCTTTGACATAACGTTGAGGCTGCATTTTTGCTTTTGCAAACTTCCCGTTGTTCTCGAAATGTTGTAATTTAAGAAATTTCCTTTCATTTGGACCTAATTGGACATCATTTTTCTAGAACGAATATCTTCATCAAACGGAATCTTCTTAGAATTGCCCAAGTTGTTTGACAATCCATGAACTAAGTTAGAATTGTATTTGTACTTTTTGAAGAAGCTATCAGGGAATTCATGAATTCCCAGTAATTACTTAACAAAACTAATAACTAACGCACAACTTTGATAAATAGCGTTTCATTAAAGCCAATTTATTACAAATTTCCATGTTAAGTTTATGTTAACAACTGTTAATTCATAGAAGTCGCCAGGAGGGAAGTTAAAAATTTCGCATTCACGGAACATCGTTGTTGTTGGAGGAAATAGTGAAAAATTGCTTAACTCAAAATGAAAAGAAAATGCAGAACTAATTGGCTTTTTGAGCATTGTAAACAATCGGCCTGGAAAGATGAATAACCAGCCAGGGGAGATCCCAACTAAGTTATTAAAATCAGATATTGTTATAGATACCATATGGTTGTCAAGAAATAAAGAATGTTTGTAAAACGTACTGTTTTACTCTTTTTTCATCGTCTCTCAAGTGTATAGTACACATTTGCAAGAGGTACCATTAAGCATTACACGTCTAACGGAGATAAACAGGTGAGGTCATCTTTCCTACAGTTACTTTTAGGGATGATGGATCATGAGCCATATAGGCGGCAACGACTTGGTAAACAGCTCTAACCTGGCTTGATGGAGTTATCTTAAGAACTGACTAAGATCTGTGGTTAGAATGAACGGCCGTTTGCGAAATATAACTGGTTACTGGATACTCTGAAAAACAAGTAAAGGTTCTTAATACTCTGAGGTCGAACCAAAACTTTTGATTAACTGCAGCGGCATGTATCGGTGCGAAGTTCACAAACTGTAGTAAGATATCAGTATGTCAGCCCTCATAAAAATATGCGGTTTCTCTTAAAAAAAAGATCATAGAAATTATTGAAAACATACGGCGTGATAGACTCCGAACATTTACAAAGAAAATCTTATTGAACTACTAAAGCCCTACGAAAAAAAGAAAAAGTAAGGAATGGAATTGTTACACTCGAGGACCATTCTGCTGCTTCCTTTCTATCACCGTAATAAAGTCCATCCAAGTCCCTGAAAGAAGCTTTTATCAGAGAGGGTGATTTTAAGTAAGTAAGCTCGCAAAGCGTCTCTCCTTTAAGAAGAGCAGAGAGAATTTTCGAAGCAACACCTTCCCATTCAAAACCGATAGAGTTAGAAATGGCTGAGAAAGATGTTTGTTTTTTAAAGCCGATGATGAAACTTCTGTGGATGTTTGTCATACTGAAGATGGTGGATGGAGGACAAATGGTGGAATTTGATACTTCTAAAACCACGTAAGTGGTAAGCTTTTTCTACAAATAGATATTGTGAATCGTGATAATTTGAATCAGCCTGATGCAAGATCCATGCAAGGTTGCAATAATAATAAATTTTAAAGGCAGAGCTTAGCATTATAAAATAACAACATTGGACGTAAACAGGTTTAAAGTCTTAATAATTGAATACAAGCAGAGTTTTGAACTGTTTAGACAATAATGTTATGGGAGCCATTCTTAGTAGCTATGGTAAGTAGATCAGTCAGCTAAAACGATGAGTATGCTATACAATGAACTCGACAGGTTATAACGAAAAGGAATTTTGTTCTACACAGGGCATTCTCCTCCTACATCGACTGCGCACCTAACTTTGCAACGTCCGACAAGATTGAATGTAAGTTCCATTTGAGAAACAACGGCCAACAAGACTATTCTGTGCTGAAATGGCGTACGCCGCTGGATGGACTGAGATCGGATTGCCTGTCAGTCACTTCCAATGGCACGAAGCTACAGTACGATGGTATCCATATAAAGCGCTCCGCCCCAGGCCCTGATCAATACTTGCTCGTCAAATCCGGACAAACAGTGTCGTCCACCTTTGACGTTTCAGATGCGTACGACATGACTAAGGCTGGCCTGTACTCTATAGCAGTGGACACTTATTTAGAATATGTAAAGGGTAGTGTAACTGAAAAGGCAGTGCGCCAGACTAAGATAGAACGTTTATCGTCCCCTGTATTAAGTTATGAAATTGATGAAAAGAATTTTATAAAGGGAACCTCGGGTCAAAGGGCGCGCACTGAAGAAAGCGTGACCAAGGGTGCTTTGGAAGACCATATTTTTCACAACAGAAGAGGTCAGGACCTGAAGGCATCTCTTAAGTATGTAATAAAGGGAGGGTCCCCCGATGTGAAAAGTGAAACAGAACATGCTATTGTAGCTGTGTACAGAAACATTAAGTTAGCCATTCAAGACCTTGAGAATGATCGCGGAAGAGCTAAAACTTGGTTTGGATCTTCTCCTACTGATGAACCCAAGTGGGTTTTTGAAAAAATGGAACGAGTATTATCAAAGGATAAAATTACTTACATTATTGATGGAAGAGAATGTGAAGATGGGAACTATGCCTATGCTTACTTTGGAACTCGCAAAGTCTTCCTTTGCGAATTGTACAACAGGGCCGACACACTGATTGGGTATGACACAAAGATGGGGATTATAGTTCATGAATTGGGGCATGCAGTGGCTCGTAGGGATGATATAGCATACGGCCAAAATGCTTGTAGACGGCTCGCTATAGAAAATCCAAAAGACGCTTTAAATAATGCTGAGAATTACGAATATTTTGTGGAAAGTGGAACAATTCTGAGTCCATAATCAGTTGATGACCTATTAGATACCCTAGGGAGGGGATAGAATGGGGGGGGGGGGGAGAGGATAGGGTGGGGGTCTTTAACGGTCTTTAACAAGCTACAATTGAACGACCAACATGAAATCATTTTTCAGGTCGTGTTTGTATGAAATTGAAAAGATTTAATTGGTTAGAGTATGGAAATAGATTATAAAGGGGGAACTGCCATGGACGTACTTTAATGATTAAACTGTTGATGTTATGGGTTGCATTTTGCACCTAAGAGAAAGTGAGTATGTCTTAACTTGTCTTAGGAAGGTATCAATAAAGGTTTTTTTCGGGGAGGTACTTTTTTCTTAATGTAGGTGTACTAGTATAAAAGAGGTGTCGTTTTTCAGGGAGGGTAGACTCTGTTTAAAAACGAGTTCGAAGAGTTAATTAGTGTCTATAAGAATGAAGCATGAAACAATGCTGACTCACCGAAAGCGTATCTATGCACCTGAGGCACAAGGTGATGAAAATTTCTGTAAAAAACGTAAAACTTCAGGTTTCTCTTTTTTCTTGGAAAGAGCGAAAACCTCAACTTTTTTACTAGACTTGTGACTTGTAACTGGGATTTGGGATTTGTGAATACTTTGCCACGGCGTAAATTTTGTCAAAATTTGCACGTGAGACGGAATGTAAAAGCCCTGTCTTTCTTTTTTTGCTGCACCTTTTAAGAGAGATCGTGCCTACCTGGCGCGAGAGGCCATAACGCGTAAAGAGAAAAAGAACGAAAAAGAGAAAAAAATGAGAAAACGAAGAGAGAGGAGATTAAGATCGATCCTTAAGGAATTCAAGCACAGCTTGTTGAAGTACGAGACCTTCTGCGTGATATGAAGACAAAGAAAGAAAACAAAACAAGCAAAAATAAAGTTTCATGCCAGTTAGAAAATAGTTAGTAAAACCACTCCTATCGTCAGTTTTGTTTGTGTTTTGTCATGATGAACATGCACTTTCTAGTTTTGAAAAAAAAAAATTTTAAAATGCTTTGATTGGTTCATTTTTTATCATTAGTCATAGTGATTCAGTCTTAAAAATTTTGTATCCCAGCAGCCTTTGTCAACTTCGGTGAATCTTTCAAATGTGAAAGTGATTCAATCTCTCACTCCTTGTGGTCAAGACCCGAAATTGCGCCGACCTTTTTCGGTAAGGGAATCAGGGGAGTGTACACTATAAGCCCGGATAGCAGCCGCGGTCCTTTCGACGTTTATTGTGACCGTAAGAAGCTATATAATGTCGGAGGTTCTCAGCCGAAATCAAGGCAGGAATTGGCGACCGTTAATTCCATTTTTTTGCACATGATTCTCAGAATGGGTGGAACTTTGGGGTGATGGGGGCGTCCGGAGCGAATTTACAGCGTTTTTCTTCCGCCGCCATGATTCATTTGGTTAGCGTTATTCACAGACGTACCTTGGAAAGGATTGTGAAGAGGGCAAGGCAGATGAACCAAAACCGAGCAAAATGGTTCTAAATCAGCCCAAGAAATTCACGCCAGGCAAATGACCAACCACTTGAGCGAACTAAATTTGTCTTTATTCAAAACTAGTTCAGATCTTTTGAAGGTTGAAAGCGCGACTGTTCATTTCCATGCAAATCCTTATATTTCGCCCATTGCGTAAAGTAATCATATTTGTATATTCATATTTGATGAGTTCCTCTCCTTCTTACCTGTTTAAATATCATTGATTGTGAACTGTTTACTCTTAATTCATATCATTGTTTCTAATATCGTAGTCATCGCCGTTGACGCCCGAGGCTTGCTGATATGGGTACCGTCTAAGAGTGTATTTTATCAGTAATTTTTCCTATTTTATACCTATTTTCATCATTTAATCATTAAAGGTAACATTTTAAACGCAGTCAAACTTGAAAACGCGACCGTTTGGTGAGTTCGTTTGGAAGTTTTTGGTCTGTTGTGTCTACAAAATACAATCACTTATCACAACTTACTGACGTACTGAAACAAAAGGCGAGACGAGACGATCGTAAAAAAGAGAATAAATATTGTTGTCACAGCTGAACAATAAAGAAACAAGAAAAAAAATCCTGCTCCAAATCACTATTCTAATCCACTGGTGCACATCAGCGAAAAATTATAATTTCAAAAGCCATATTCCTCGCGTGCTTAAACTGAAATGGCTACTTCTGTCGTTAAAGCGTTTTGCTGGAGTTTCTTGTTTTTCAGGGCGTCTATGGCGAGCCGCAATACATTGGTACAGGATAACGGTCGAACGAAGAAAGGAAACCCACAGGAAAACAAGTGCAGTACAGTGATAAATGGAAACTATTACGCGGGAACTAACGAGGAGATGAAGACCATTCTTCAAGGAATTCAAGCACAGCTTATTGAAATACAAGAGATTCTGCGTGATTTAAAGACAGAGCAAGAAAACAAAACTGGTAAAAATTTAACATGAACGTGTTATGTTAATTAAAGAGTGTTTAGTAAGAACAACTTATGGTTAGTTTTCTTTGTATTTTTTTTTCAGGATAAACTCTTTCTACTGTTCAAACAGAGAGGTTCTAAAATATTTCAATTGGTTCATTTCTCATCAAATTTGACTTACTCAGATTAATCTACTCAGTCTTGAATATTTTGTTTCCGTGCTGCCTTTGTCTACTTTAATGAATCTTTCAATGTGAAATTGATTCAATCTTTCACTTCTTGAAGTCAAGAACCGAAACTGCGCTGACCTTTTTAAGTCCGGCGAGAGGATCAGTGGAGTGTACACTATAAGCCCGGATAGCAGCCGCGGTCCTTTCGACGTCTATTGTGACCATAAAACAGCCGGTGGAGGATGGACGGTGATTCAGAAAAGATTGGATGGCTCAGTAGATTTTTATCGCGGCTGGGCCGACTACAAGCGCGGTTTTGGTAACTTGAATGGCGAGTTCTGGCTCGGTTTGGACAAGATGCATCAGTTGACTAAGGCAGGTAGGAACAGAGTTCGAATAGAGCTGGAAGACATTAAGGGAAAAACGGCCTACGCCGACTACGACATGTTTGCAGTGGCAAGTGAGAGAGCTAAGTATCAACTGAGCCTTGGAACTTACTCTGGTAAGTACATCAATGTTTGATGAATAACAAAATATTTAAAAAACACAGTAACCCGAAGATCTCGCGGCACGATCCAAAGTGTAAATAAAATTACGCGAGAGAATTTAAATAAGCTGCAGACACTTTTTTCATTTTTCATTTAAGCACAAACATTCTCGCCTGTGGTTTTTCTATATACCGAAGGATGAACGATTCAATAATCTTAAGTCGAGCTAGTAGCTCATCCTGTTATGCTAAAGCTGACGGAAACCTTTAAAATAAATAACTGCGCTTTAATTGGAAATCAGATGGTACCTGTTCGCTTACATAGAAACTCATTTGCGTGACTGCGTGGGACAAATAACAATAGCTATTCCATCAAGCGGGTTTGAAGCAAAGAATTTAAATGTCTGACAAGAAGAGCTTATTAACGTATCCATTTATCCGCAGGTACAGCCGGTGATTCTTTCTCCTTCCAGCGTGGTGCTCCTTTCTCAACTAAAGATCAGGACAATGATCCTGATAAACGTCACTGTGCCGTAACGTTTAAGGGAGGCTGGTGGTACAGCTTGTGTCGCCAAGCAAACTTGAATGGTTTGTACCAGCCAGGGCCGTATTCAAATCACTGGAAAGGAGAATATTATTCGGCCAGGAGATCGGAGATGAAAATAAGGCCTGTATATTTTTGAGTCAGCTGCCATCATATCTGGAGTTATTATCTGATCATGAATAAAATCCATTGGATTGTATTTAAACGTCTTCTTTATGTTTTTGTGTTCGTGTAACGTGGAAAAAAATTGCCGGCGATCTGTGGAGACTGCTTGAGAAAAGGACGTAGTCATGATCTGGAACTGCATCGCGCCCTCCCCTCCCCTCCCCTGCTACATCTGAGGACTATAAGTGAACAAAGATATAGAGCGGGTTTACGTCCAGAGTTGGAAGTGATGGAGAGCCATATGTTGAATTTGCAGTCCATAAAACTCCCGCCACCTTCGAGATCGATCCGGTTCAACTAAACTAGTCGTTACTTGGTCGCTCGCGTTTTCCTGCGCTTAAAGTGGTTTTCACTGACTTACTTTGACTACTCACTGACTCTTTGAGAAATTCATTCAGTTTGGTTTTTATTGTCTTGGTTTTACAACTATGCGGTGTTACTCACCAAATTGTTTCAAACAAAATTAAAGGGCTGAGTTTAGGGATGCCGTTTTTGTGCCCTCCCAAAGAGCATTAATATTGCGATCGCACAGTAATGCAAACACAGCCCAAAAAGTTTCGCAGGGAGAGTGATATATTTGCTCAAGGAAAACAGATACATACAGTCCACAAGAGTTGAGCCGAGGTTTAATACTACTACAGAGAGCTTCAATATCATGTTTTCAATCCAACGTGTTAAAGTTTTTGACTTTGTCAGATCTTTTACGGGATAAAAATTGTACAATGTTTTATCGACCAATAAATAATTGTTGTCTAAAGAGGAATATCAAGGTTCCGGGCGAGCTCAAACACCGCTGAAAATATGGTACATTCACCTGTAAAACAGATAAGATGTAATTAAAAGAACATGAAATGTTCCCAAGGAAGCAAATTCTGTGCTTAACTCTTTACATCAGTATGCATATTCTCCATACTGTTCTCTGTACATTTCCTAAGGCGCTAAGAAAGAGAATTTATTCAACAATCAAGATTGTCTACAGTTGGTGATCATTTCCTTAAAGATGCTGGTCACTCTTGATCTCACACAACTGAAACATTTTTAGGGTAATTTTCTCTTACCATCAATTCAGGTTAGATTGGGTAATTTTTACGACAATTGAGAGTAACTTCCAAACCAGTCATATCGTGGACGTATGAATTAGAATAACTGCCTAAAAGCGTAATGGTACAGGATGCAGAAATCCCCAAAACTGACCGGACCAAAATTAAACAGAAAAAGAGGTTTTCATTACAATAAATTTGTGAAAAAAAGATTCTTCGTTAGCCTGTTTTGCTCACGATTTTATACAGGAAGTCAACTAAGACAAGTTGCCCCTTATGAAACAGACCGCTTTAAATGGTACCTCTTTATTCCAGCGCCTTTTCTGAATCCGTGAACCTTATAATTGTATTTTTATCAACTCGCCTGTTCTTGGTGTTATTTCGTTCCACCGCCTCAAGGTTGAATTCACAATGGCAGCATGATTGGAACTCATGACCGAGCCGGCGGAAAGAGCTGGACGCGACGGCATCTCAGCCTGCTGGGTCGTGTTGTTCTGTATGTCGTGGAGAATGGGAACTGTAACTATTTGCTCTTCGCCTGTTGGGGATGACGGGATAGGCCTGCTAAGTTGTATCTACAGAAAACAGAAAGGTAAAGTTAAAGAAAGAATGAAAGGACGGTTTAAGCCACTTTTAACATTCAAGAGAGTTTACTTTAAAATAACTACAACCCTTTTTTTCGTTTGCCGGGAAAGACAAAAACCAAAGAGATATGACAAAAATAAATACATGAATCAACAAAATAAATCAAGGGTGGTTTCTCCCGATTGTTGGACATCAATTGCAAATTCAAATGAGTTGTTGACTTCGTAAATAGGGCGATTGTGTTGTTAGATCCACTCTAGTTGCAAGACCGTAATATTTTTTCAAACTTTTAAACGCGGACCAAGTTAAATCAACTTACAAAGAACAACATTTTCCCTTTCAGGACCACTGCTGGGGTTCCGGGAGGCGCAATCTCAGGTCCGTTGGGGGGTATACTGAGGCACCATTCTACGCGCCATTTCAACACGTTTGGATCATGATTCTGCGGAAAAAGGGTCCACACAACATCAGTTGGGTATTTTCAGTTCAGAAACACAAGCACAATCGTGCAACAGAATTTCGAGAGCTCCCAATTGGAAAGGGGCCTGTAACTTTCTTCTAAGTACTTGTCTAAGCTAAACAAGATCATTTGGATGAGTCTTGTACATTCAACTTAACCTCAAAAGACGAGAGTCCAAACCTTTTGGATTCGGATTTCAAGGGAAGTGAGGATGGTGAGATTTTTAGCCTACATTTCTTGCTTCAAAGATAACATTTTAACCTAATAAGTCGAAAGTAAGGACTTTTAATAGGATCTCACTCACTGAGCAATTGGAGACCCGTGTAAGCTTGATGGTGGCACGGAAAAATTGAATAAAAAGAAACAGACGAAGCGCTTACCAGTTCCAATTTCATAATCTTGATACAATCTCGGAGTATGTTGGCTGGAGCGCACAGAATTCGAGCGAACGCTGTTAAAGCACTGGTCTTGTAAGGAGGACAGGCCACCTGAAGGAAAGACAACAAACGCAAATTCAATTTCAAGCTCGTATAGACACATTAGCAGCAGAGAGGAACAACCAACCACAAACAACAATCGAATACAAGATGGAAAAAATCAAGAATGTGCACACAAAAATAAACCAATGAGAAACACACATCAAACAAAGAAACAAATGTATGCCATCTAGTTGACCCTTTTGATTCCAGAAGTGATTAAAATGTAACTTCTCCCCATAATATCCATACATTACCCAGCAAACAGTTAATGAGAAAACTCAAACTCATCAGGTAGAAGTTCTTATCTATATCTCACACTAAATTCTCTTGACTAACTTACAATGAAATGTGTCGCAGCTAAAGGGGAGAATTAACACCCAAATCTTAGGAGTTAAATGAATCTCAAATACAGAAAAAAGCTATACAAAGAGTTCACGCTAATTTTGATAACATACCCTTGTTTCAAAGAATCTCTCAAGAGTACTTAGTTCATCTTTCCAGGAAAATTCTGCTAGAAAGGAAAGTTGTAAGATTAATACAAGTTCGAAAACCGACATGAATATTTCAAAGGGGGTGGAGGGGGGGTTACTCATATCAAAAAGAGTGTACTCGTTATATTGTCATGTCCTCCACACCGTGTTTTACTTAACGCGACAAAAAAGGGTTACAAAAGGGGGGTGGGGTGGGGTGCAAGGGGGGAGAAGGGGTCACGGGCATCCCTGGGCCCCCTTACCCCTGCTACGCCCTTAGGGTGGTTAAGGTGCGATGGGCTCGTACTTAAGAGGAACGATATAAGAGCCATTTTCAAAAGAGTGTCGTGAAAAGTTGGGACCAGCTTTGCTCATGACGAGTACAAGAAGGCGTCTGATGGACTACAGTTCGTACCTTGACCGGGTAGAGGCTTGGCACTGAGTCGCAACGCAGTGTATGATGGATCAGTACTGACAAAGTACTGCAGGTTTGTCGTTGGTTGGGTTGTTTTGAACGCCAAACTGTTCGGTAGTTCATTCCTTAGTAAAGATAGCTGTGGGGAAATAATTGGACGAAACACTTTAAGCTAACTTGATGGTGACAGCCATGACAAGTAGATGAAAGCGTATAATTGTAAAAAATGACCGACAAGCGCAGTTACTGACCAACTGACACACAGACTTTTTAACTTACTGACTAGCTGAGTAACTGACAAACAGACAAACTGTCTGACTGACTGACAGATGAATTGACTGATAGCATAACTCTGCCTGATTGATTGACTGACTTACAGACCAAATGACGGACAGACTGACTGACTGATTAACTGACTGACTGACTGACCGAGTAAATGAATGACTGACTGGCTAACTGCCTCGCTAAGTAGCTAAATTACGGTCTAACTGATCTCACCAACTGACTGTTTCTGTAAATGACTTTCAAACTCTCTTGCTTTACTGACTGACAGAATGCATAACTAAAACAATGCGAGAGAAAAACGTACATGTCCGTGCGTTAAAGTAGTGTAAAATTTCCAAATCAAAACCACCAATATTTAATCCATATTTATAACTTATCAATTACTAACTTTGGTGGACAATTCATCTTGGATGCACCGCGTTAAATGCCGTTTTAAATGCATGCAGCACAGGAACCGCTCCAACGGAGATACCATGACCGGTGGGCCGTGCCTCACCGAGCAAGGCACGGGGACTGGGGTACACAATTTGATCAACGCTTTATGAGACAGTATTGTTGGAACAGTAGCAGCCCACGTTCTTGCAGTCAGCGGTCGAGGTGGAGTGGTTGGTTGCTTTAATCCACTCCCTGATTGCATTGGTTGGGGAGTTGGAGAGGGCCTGGGTGAATTAAGGTATAATAAAAACGATCGCAAATGAGATAATTTCAACTCTTAGGATAACCAAATAAGTGAGTGCTTTCAGACAGTCACGCGATCAGACTCTGAGATTGTCTGGGAACCTTCAGAGACACTTGTTTGTTCAAGGTTTTACTCGTAAGCTGATTAAGAAAGGAACCACTGCATGTAAGCTCGATTTTCACCGCTCTCCTTTCGAAGCGCAGGTCCATACCGGGAGAGCAGCGCAAGTCCATACCGGGAGAGCTAGTGGTTACCAAGCCTACGATGAAAGCAGCACTACGAGTTTTTTAAGGGCCGCTGTCTGCAACTGAGGACCAATTTATATAAAATACTGGCACGTTTCTAAGTTCTCAGCCGATGTGCGCAAAATTTCGCAATTACAATCTTCCGTGTCTAAAAAGTTTCAAAGATCTCAGTGCTAGCGCATTCCGACAGGGTGACGCTACTGCTTAGTAACAGGAGTTGAAATAATACTTGGATTAATTTGAGGAATTTTTTCACGGTTCCACCAGAGAGGCCTTCCAAAAGAGTCGCACCTTTACAAGAGACTGGATGATCCTTCTTGACGTCAAGTACCTGTCTCTCATGGTGAGAATAGATACAAGGGTTTATTTACGAGCAACCTTAAATACGCACCTGTACTTGGAACCCTGGCCGCTACCAGTGTACTGTGGAGACATGGGCCACGACCCTGGTGACGTAACAGGGATGGAATGAGAGAGAGCTGGAGAAGAGCCGCCTAATGACGGAGTGACAAACTGGTGACTGGTAGCCGGAGACAGCACTGGAAGACCGAGAGAGCCGGCAGGAGACGGGGCTAAGCTTTGAGGTGCTGCCGGCGAAGGCTGTAGAAGAGCCGAGAGCTGAGCAGCTGTGGTTCAGAAACAGAGAGATGTTTGTGCGTCCCACAGACGGACATGACCACACTTAAAAAGAAGACGGTTCGTTCTAACGGAATCAAAACCTTTCCCTCGTTTTGAGTTTAACCGTGGTTCTTGAGGCACCTTTATTAACTGATTCCAATCATCCTGTTTCATTTCGAAAAATACTGTTCTCTCAATTTGTTTTTTTTGTTTGTTTATCCTTTGGCCAAGGCTTCGTTTTTTAAGGTGAATTCGTCCTTCTGAATATTTCCGAATTTTTTAATGACAAAAAAGTGAAAACCTGTGAAAATAAAAATTGTTGTCTTTGCTTCCATTTACTGATCGTCGTTTGCATCTTTCTAAATTTAAGGCATTTGCTCATTAATTTAACAGCCAGCTGATATCGAGGCGAAGTTAGAATTAGTGGAAAGAGAAGCCACTGAACGGTGCAGGCATCAATGTAGACAAAAACGTAGTGGATGTTGATTAATTTACGAACGAACCGAACGAGAAAAAACGATAAAGAAAGCAAACAGAGACGATGTCAGATCTGTGTGTCGACTGCAATGTCGACGATTACTGATTTATCAGACAATAAACAGAAAAAAAGTTTTTTAAATGCACAAACATGTATGGTGAAAGACATATTCCAGAAAAAGAGGAAAGCAAGAGTAAAGATAACAAAAAGTAAAGTTTGAAGAGTAAAGAGGAGTAAAAAGAAGCGATGCATTCTTTGAAAATTGAATGAACGAAAAAAATTGTATTGAAGGAGAAAGTGATGGAAGGGCAAGATATGTTGCATTTAGGTACCGCAATTGAAGAAGACGCTTAGTTTACAGGGCATAGTTTACAAATGAATTAAAATCATTAGCTAACTAATTACAATTAGGCTTATAACAATAGTGCTTGACGCAAATTTGCACATACAAGCACCAACCATTTGTGTTTTAAATTTTAAGACATCAATATAACACGGAGAATACATAATGAAATATCTCTCCCTACCAAATCTTTTTTCAGAACATCTGCCACCCAGCAGTAAGCAATAATAATAACTTTTAGTTGAGTTAACACTTTATTTCCTGTTTTTCTTCCCTTCAAGGAAGACTGAAGAGCTTTTTCCAAATAAACAATTCCCTCAAGTAAATTTACTGTGACAAATTTTGATTGCTCGTACATAGGAGGCAAAAATTTTTCCGAGTTTTCCGTAAAAAAATTAGTTTTTGAACGAAAATGCACACCTTTCGTATATCACCAAAGTAATTAAGGATTGTAAATCAAGGAAAATTGGCATAACCATTCTGCAAATGAGCTCCGAAAACAATAAAAAAGAATCCTGCCCCATACATTAACAATTGCCAAACAGAATTGGACTATGTGGAGTCGGTCAGATCAAGAGGGAAAAGAATACAAAAATAATTTTTTGCGCAAAGATTATTGTTCGGAAATATCTCAAAATAATTCACCTGGAGAACCAACACCATAGATATTACCCGGACTATGAACATTCGGCGACGCAGAAAATGGCGATGGCACATTGACCGAGGCAGCAGGGGCTTGGGGCGAGGTGCGAGGGATCATGGGTGATGCGGTAAGATTTGCGGTGCCAGGCACCGGCTGTGGTGACGTAAACTGTGCTTCAATCACAGGTGCGTCCGTTTCCATGGTAATAGGCGAGGGAGGGGCCTCGTCGTCTGCGGTTGAAGTATTACGGGAAGTGATTCCTCCGGTCTTGGCAACATCGTCTATGTACATTTGAAGAAAGATCTGTTAAGGAAACAAAAAGGGAAGGTCAGCTTAATGATCTACGAATTTCTCTTGTCTTTATAGTGGTTAATGTCGTCGCATGAAGTTTGCCACTTATCTTTTTCTTCACTGTCTTTTAACAGGGACAAAACATAGGCTAGAAAGGCACAAACATACCTTCAAATTTGGGATTGGCAGAACAAATCCTCTGCCCTTACTTGGATCCACCACACTGTAGAAGGCATCTGATAAAAAGAGAAAAAATGCACAATTACTTCGAGAACTGTATAAACATCAATACTGACTAACACAGAAAAATTACATCAAAGGTAATCTAAAAATGCCTTTTTTTCAGAAGCAAAAATTGTTTTAAACGGAATCAACAACCGCTGTAGTTTCTTTTTGTGGCGAGAAAACTGAAAAAATGACAATAGTTACGGAAATGCGATCAAAATTCATCTGCACAATCATAGACCAGATAGGTGAGACTGGGTCTTATTGCTTATCCCGAACAAAAATCCCGGGCTGTTTGTTTGTTTGTTGATGATACGAGTTAGGATCTCTTGCTGTTACAATCGCAATCAATAGAGGACATTCAAGAAATTTGTTGAGAGTTAGTCATACCTCTTATGGCAACAAGATTCTTCGCTTGAAAACGAATTTCCAGAGCGTTACTGTTAAGGAAGAGATAAAGTTAAGAACGTGTTACGATATATTTTAAATTTTGCACGCACACTTCGAGAATCAGCGTGACAGGAGCCTTGATCATTCAGTCTACTGAGAGCGTAAAGAAATTGATAACCACTATCGTGCGAGAATAACTTTGTGTGCGTGACGAAAAAAAAAACAGAAGAAGAAGAGGAAATGGGAAATAGGAAAAACGATTTTGTAATTCACCGTGTTTCGTACTATGAGAGCCAATTGTGCAGGATACCTGTTTCTGTAGACGAGCAGCACATGTGAGGAAGACTGGGGGAGAACGGTAAACTTCCTCAAGGGTGTGAGAGGTCGCTGTTAAAGAAAAAAAATTGCGAGTAGAAAACAACTCAGGTTGAATATAGAAGGAAACACTGAAATAATATATCATAAGAGAAATAAACGTCAAAGAGAGAATAAAACCCAAAGTAACAAACGAGACTACTTAACTCAGACTTTTCGCCCCAGAGTCAAGCACGCTTTCCACTAAGCCACCGCGTTATTTTAGAATCGCTCAGCCGCATGCGCATTTTTCTCCAAAGGCAAAATTTATGAAAGTGAAGATTTATACTCACATAGACCTGTATACCAAGAACTGGCTTACTACTGAGTTTTGCTAGGGCCGAGAGTGGTCGAAACGTTTCGTGAAGAATCTAAAGACAGACAGGAAGATAGTTAAATTTGAGTGAAAACAAACGCCCACCATCGCAACTCGTTCTGCATAGTGTGCTTTCCCATTTAAAAAAACAGCCAGGGTTTCGCCAGAATAGACTAAGATTAGTCCTTCGTCGCCGCAAGCCTCTCTCTCCAGGTGATTGAGCGCCGACAGATCATTCGTGGTTTGTTTGTTTGTTTGTTTTGTAGGTGTGTTTTTGCTTAACACCGACTCGCGCGACAGACCAAGATGGGAAAGAGGGACTTCTTGTAGTCTAGGTTACGAGAGAATCAATGAGAGACCCCTGTTATGTCCAAGAAAACAGGACAATAACTTTGGCCAAGACAAAAACCCACTGAGTTCGGGTCAATCTCACTGTTCCTTAAAGCTACGCGCCCCGCCCAACTTTTTAAAGGAAGGAGTTCGGGTCTTAAACATGGACGGAGCATTCTCCTTTAACGATCTTCAATCATAAGAAAAGGCAAAAATTCTGTTAAAATTAATCTTCCTGGCATTCCCTTACAGGAAACAAAACTGCTAATCGAAAACATTTTGACTAGAATAACCAATAATTCATTAACTAAAATTCACGGTACGTGGAGATCAGTTTAATACCTGTACAATATACGGCAGATTCTGATGATTGTTGAACTCTTGTTGTAGATGCCTGGCGGTGTAACTCTGTGGATTTCCACTCAGACTTGAGCCGCAATACCCCAATGTCAAAACAAACTGAGACTGCTCCACAGACCATTCGAAAGTCACCTACGAGAGATAATGAGGATACAAAACAACAAATTACATGAAAGGGTTTCCAAAAACGAAACACGTCATGGTTAGTACACCGTGAGAAAAATTAGCGAAATTATTAGTGAAGATCCGTTTGATTCTTCTCCATCCTTACACATCTTTCTTTCTTCTTTATTTAGTTGTCAGTCTTATCGGACTTGCACTTTGAGGTCCTTCTCTACTTTAAAGTAATTTTTGTACGGCGCAAAAAGTTACTTCAAATTTTGAGACGCTTTTCTGTGAAAAGAGGGCGAAAAAAACGGTCACCATTTATCGTATGGAAATTAGGTCTTATCATTCATTACTTACCAAGCTTTGTTTATCAGGGTCATACTGTAGTGTCAGCTGTTTGTAGTCGTAAGAATAAACACGGCACATATGGCGAAAATGGCTTTGTGAATCTGTCAAAAAAACCAGCAAAATAAGTTGAACATAACGCTTTCGACAGGAAGCACGAACACACGAAAACGTTTCCACCTCTCGAAGTTAAACCATTTGGTTTGAGGCTACCAAGACATTCAATCATATACAGCAAGATTAAATCAGAAAGATCAACCAACCTTTAAGAAAAGTATCCAGTTCCACGGCATGTCGGTACAACTTGCAAACACTATACCAATCATTTAAAAGCTTTCCAACCACAAGTTTTGCCCAATCATTGTCTCCTTCCCCACCCTTGTTGTTATTGACGTTGTGAGCCTTCCCCTCCTGAATTTTATATTCAAACAACACATGCCGGGTGGGGCCCTTTTCGTTCGCTGACAGTCCCTCTAGTGGACAATTATCCATAATCATTTCCAGGAGACAGGTTCCTTGTGACTCATCAGGAAGTCTCAGCACGCACTCCAAGACACTTGGCTGTGGGGCTGGAACCAATGACGCGTCACAGTCTCTAGGGAGGGGTAGGTTAGACAATCGGACAGCTAACCCGACTCCAGCCTCTGACGTCAGGTCTTGGTCGATAATCTTGTGTCGGCTCAGCTGAAAATAAACAAGGTAAAAAATTAGAAAAAAGAGAAATAACAAAGAGAGATCAAGAGAAAAAAAGTAAAAGGAAACATAAAGATAATTACCGTTTAGCATGACGATTTGAAAGAGTTTCATTTTGCGGGTTGGAAATATTTTTTGTGTTAGCAGTTCGAGATCACTGACATTTCTGCTGGGAAACATCTTTTTCTGTTTTCATTTCAAGCAGCAGAACTTCAACGCGATAAAAAACATAATATTTTCAAACTTCCGAACCCGTTAAGTAATGCAAAGAGGAATTACAGAGTGGACAATTCGAAGATGAATATTTCGAGTGAGTCCGACTTCAAAATGACTCTTCATTCGCATGCAGTGTTTTCCAGTGACGGATTGAAGTAAATTTTCGCAAAGTCTTATTTGCAGAATTAGTTTCTCTGCAGGAACTAACCTTTGGCGGATCTAGGAAAAACCGAATCCGTAATAATAATTATAACCCGTGATTCTTTTTATGTTACAGGTTATTACTTTTCTCTGAGGAGTTTCATCTAATCCAGAAATATCAGTGTAAGTGAACTTACCTCCTCGCGGAGCTGAATGAATGGTATTCTTGCGTGACAAATAGCAACCACATGACCCATTGTCGGTTGATAAGTAGAGTTATTTCTTCCTTCTTCTAAAACATCTTTTAAGTTCTTCTGTTTCTTTTTACCATGGAGTTCTTCCTCTGAAGAGTCGAGCTAAAAGACAAACGGCAAACAACATTTTTCTTTACACATCCATCTTCTACCAAGAGTAGGAGACGTAATGGAGCCGACGTTCGTGTGCTAGAATTCCAGTTTTGAGGCAGCGTCTTGTCATTCTGTTCAGCTCTTGGATGAGACACTTGGCTCTGAGTTCTAAATAGCTCCGTGTCATATTTTCCTCTCTTTTGACTGGTTCTTGTGATAACCTTAGCAGCCAAAACATGCGAAATTCATTTGCGAAATCGAAAAGATGAATTCCTAAGGAGGTACTGGGGTTGACGATACAAACATTGTCGAAATCATGACTAAAAATATGTTTTTGGTATGAAACCAACACTTAAGGAACATTTACCTTTCGTTTTTTTCCTTCATCGTCTTTACGGCTGGAATGAAGACCTGCTTGGGTCATGAAAAACAAATAAAAATAGTTGGAGTAATTTCAATAAGAATAAAAAAAATAGATATGAATAAATAAATAAATTAACAAAATAGCAATAAAACTACCCAAAGATAGCCTTCCAGAGAAGACATAATGAAAGGGATACACAAAAATCGTGTTACTTTGAGAACAAGAAGAGAGTGTGAGGATCGAGCATATCATATGTTATGGTATTGATCCAGTTTCCAAAGACCATTTTCTATTTTCTTGTGTGTGTTTAACCCCTTACACACTAACCGCGCCATCCACGTTCCTTTTGCTCTTACTTTATATAATTTGGTGTCTTTTTATTTTATTGAATCAATATTTTGTGTTTCCTTCGGTTCCTGTCGAATAAAAAGGCCTTGAAGTACAATTCCGCAAGTCTTTCCACGTTTTACCTTCAAGCGGTGTCCCAGCGTAATCTGTCATTTTTTGGGCATTCAAGGTGACCATGTGACCAGCAATCAAAAAGATTGCGCGTCTTCTCTTAATATTCTCTGCTATAGCATTCCTTGTTCCATCGCAGCTTTGCCTTGTTCGATCTTGGCTCTTTCTCCCCTCTTTCTTTACCTCAACTCGTTTGGGTTTTTGATCTCCACTGCCTGTGTCAGTTGATGCGCTCGCCTCATTTGCTTCATCGCCAAACGTAGGTTTCACTTTTAAGAGATGATACTTTGTGGTGGCTTCTTCCGAATCTTTGTTACAAAGTACTTCGACCACCTAAATTGAAGTGAAGACTGCTTTCATTTGTTGTGATTTGCCTTGAGCGCGATTCGTGTTAACGCGTGATCTGTGTTAACGCGCGATCTGTGATAACGCGCTATCTGTGTCAGCGCTGAGCAACTTGAACAACCCATGTCTCTTTCGGCTTACAACTATCATTAGTTGGTTTCACACCTTATGTAACTCAGGCACTAAGGTTTCTTCAAAGAGTTGGTAATGTTAAATTTCAAAACGGTTCTCACAAGTTTCCTTTGAGTTGCAACCTGAGTTCGAGGAAGAACGACAAACTACAACTGTATATGCAACTACTTACACCACGCAAGAATTTCGTGTGAGCGACAAGCCAAAGTGTATTTATTCATGTAATTACCGTTTCCCCAAAAAGCGTAAAAGCATCCCAATATACTAAGACAACATTTTATTTTGGAATAGAAATCACTAACCAGACAGTAAGACGGATGGCGGCGGAACTGGATGTAAAGTTTATGTTTGCTGAGCTGGGACAATTTGTGATCTGCTAAATTCACTACTGGTAAAGACAAGGAGACAGTGACGGGAAGATGAACTGTGGATTTCATGTATCTCTGCACATACAGCTGACATCTGTAAACGAAAACAGTAGGGCATTGAAAACTGATACAGAAGTAAGCATTGAGTATGTAACTAATTGAATGACTGACTGACCGACTGACTGTCAGATAGACTGACTGACTGATGAGCTAACTGACAGACTGAGACTAACTGGTTAGCTGACTGACTAAAAGTGCTGAGTTTCTGAAGAAATTGTGGTGCTGCTTTGGTGCAGCAGCTGTGATAGCAACAACCAGGGTGATAATTGAATGTCATACCTTGCATCTCTTAACACAGTAATAAATTGATCCAAATTTGCGTTCAATGTGTTTTCAAGCTCTGTACAGACAGCGTTATCTACAGAGGAAAATAACCAAAGAGAAACAGATTTGTAAATCAAGGACTTTCATTACTTTGTAAAACATGAAAATATACCCTATAGAATGCTCTCTTAGCAACTTTGAACAACCATAACATTTTATTCCTATGATATCGTTAAGGATGGTGCAGTAGTATGATCACTCATCTTAAAAGTTTCAGCGGGATAAACTCGTACAATGAGTGATATTGGAAAAGACCTTCCCTTTTTTCTTTTGTTTTTGTTGTTGTTGTTTTCTTTTTGATATTTTTTTTCATTCATTTTCCTGGCGACTTAAATGTCTGATTTGAAAAGGCTCACTTGTTTTGCACCAAACGTTACTCTCACCTTCCCCATTACCCAGTGACACTTGAAAAATCCCGTTCCTCTTTCCAACCGTGACAATTAGAATCTCTGCAGGGGTGGAGTTAGGCATAACTTGTATCACAAGACTTGGGCAAAAGTCATCTAGTGTGACTGTGACGAAAGAAAAAAAAACTTGTAAAGCAGTTTCATAGTTGGTATGTAGTGATAATGTAATTTTCTGTGGGCAGTTCATGAGCTAGGGCAGTCGTAGTCGTAGTGGTCTAACAGTCAGTGCATTGGACTCAAAGTCGAGAGGTTTGATTCGAGACCTGGCCAAGTCAGTGTGTTTTGTTCGAAGGCGAAGCACACAATTCTTCCATTTGCTCAGACGAAGGGTTAACGCTCGAAACGACAGCTTTTTAACTCTTTACGGTGGCCAATTTACATTATCAACTCAGTTGATAATACTAAATTACACTGTTACACTCTCCCACCAACGCAGCACCACAGTTTCTTTAGAAACTCACCCCTTTTACTCTCAGAGTGCGTCTCTCCATCCAGAGGTATAAATGGGTACTGACGATTTGTAAGGGAAGCCTAATGAAATGCTTGGGGTTAAGGGGAGTAGTAATGCCTGGAGTTGCTTTATGCTCCTTGGAAACTGGAATAAGCTTCGGCTGGATGGACCAATAGATTCGGGTAGAGACTTCACCTTACCTCTCACAATGTAAATGTACATGTACACGTATGTGCAAGACCGGCGAAATATGCATGTAGGTGCAAGAATGTATTTTTTGGTTCATAGTTTCGTGTTAGGTGTTTAGTTTTTCATCTTCATTAGTTTCCTTTGACAGTTACCAGTTTTGTACTTGTTATATTTATTTGCATATCGTATATATTCTGTTCGCGCGTAATTTATTTCGTTAGTTGTCTTTCCTAGTTTGCGGAACATATCGTCTAGTTGCTTCGGTTTTCATCTTTTCGTCTTTTGGGTTTTGGTCACATTCGTCTTGTAAGTTTCCTCGTTTATTTCGCTTTGTTATTGTCTAGTACTTTTCATTACGGATATATATATGTTATTTGCCGGCTGGGAGGTCCGTATGGTAAAAAACTGTGACCGAGGTCTTGAAAATACTGCCCGAGGCCGTAGGCCGAGGGCAGCATTTTCAAGACCGAGGTCACAGTTTTTCACCATACGGACCGACCCTTAGCCGGTAAATAACATATTTATTGTTTTTAAACTTGACGAAATTCTTTCCGAAAGAACGCGAATGATTTATGGCCGTAAATACGGCAAGATCTTCCATAAACTGAACAATTTTTGAGTGAGTAAATGGTAGTTGAAATAGAGGTGATGCAAATTTAAGAGAGATGCCTCAGCGAAACATTTTCATTTCCGTAACGATAAAGGTGATTTAATAGGCTTCCAAACAAACTTTGAAACATTATTTTTACAAATATCTGTCACAATCTGACACCTGTCAATTAGAGAGCGCGCAAGAAAAAAAAACCGTAGGAACATTTGAAAACCAACAGAACTAGTTTGGCAAGGACTGTCACGACAATATTTTCTTCAAAATCAGTCAATGATCTAACGGAAAGTATTATTCACTCACATCGACCATTCATTCATGTACGAAGATTTACCTCTGTTCATTAAGTAAACGGCGAGGAAAGTAATTGTGAGTAAATTCAATTTTTTTAATTTGAAGTTGTGAGAGTTTGCTCGTTTGTTTGCTGTAATGGCGTGTTTAACTGTGATCTTTCCTTCACAAAAACTAAATTCGAACGGCACACTCCAACGAGACACAAGGGAATGTAATGCGGCCTTTTCTCAAAAAATTCCTTCAATTTCTGTTGTGCAATTTAAGGTACAAATGTTCAAATTGAACGGAATTGGAAAGACTCACCAGGAGCGTATATTTGTTGTAGAACTTAAATTAAAACTTCGCTCGCTCTTTCACTATGAACAAATTGCTCGAGAAACTTCAGATATTAAATGAATGAAAGTTCCATCGTTCAGTTTAACTGTAACCAAATACCTCACGTTTCAACTTTCTGGGTACTTTTTGTGAACGATTAAAATTAATTGCAGACGGTTTTAGGCCGCTTGTCAACCAACGTAATGACACTATTGTTTATACAAATTCATTCTGAAACCAATATTTTTCTGTCAACCAAAGTGATTTGATAGAGAGAAAAGAGAGGATTCATAAGTTATTTATCGGCTTGAGGTAGTGACCGACGTGTTTGCTTAAAAATACAGCCCAGCCAGAAAACGAGGTATATTTATGAAAAATGACAACGAAAGTTGGGATGTACTCGACGACTCACGAAAGCGTTACCGTGGCCCGTGGGCAGAGATAGGAAAATACTGACCGGGTAAAGAACCAATCAGATTGCAAGATTCGTTACCGTGCCCTCTAAAAAAACAATAATGTAAGTTATTTTATGCTATTCGTGTGTTAGTAATTTTGTTATTTTCAGTTACCGTGTTCAACAATGTGTTATGACAGCGTGTTCTGACTACGTGTTCTATAGTTTGATTCCCTTAATTTGTTCAGTTGGATACGAGTTATTAGCGTTTGCAGCTATAATGCATACCTCTGGACTTCAAGGATGAATCCTGTGTCAACATCTGAAGTAATCCCTACAATGCACATTTCAAAGATGGTTTTCATGTAGTTACATACACTATGGACATGCTCTAGTTCAAATATATTTACTCCTCACTTATTTCAAACTACTTTAATTTGTATTTACCTTTATAAGGATATAAGCATAGGGTCTATTACCTCAAGATAAGATGAAGGAAATAAAAGCTTGCTTAAAAAAATTGTATCGCAGAGAAAAATTTGAATCATATCTCCTAATTTGGGTAAAAAAAAAAATGGAAGATGGTAACGTTGGTGTGCACTAATGAAACTTGCTTGAGCCATTGAAATCAACCTCTATAAGCAACACAATCAAGGATTGGTAATAACATGTATCAATTTCACCTTTTCATTACCTTAAGCTTCACGTTTGACTGAGCTTTTATAGTAAGTGTCAGGAGCTTTTCTATGTACAGGTCACCGGGCTGATAACAAGAACAAAACAAAGAATGAATAAAAATCCTTCCTTTGTAGTGGCTACTGGTTCATGCTAGAAAACAAAGGCTCATTTTAGAGTACTATGCTTAGCTGCCAAGCCTCTGAGACTGACGGCGCCCTTTTCTTTTTTAAACCATTTAGTTGTCAAGGCTTGACAACTAGGCACTCGACTGTACAATGGATCACCAAGTAAATGAAATGATATTTCTGTGCTTACAGTGACTTTAGAGATGCAATCCTGATTAAACTCAAAGGGAAGAGCTGGTGAGTGTTGGACACAGAGGCTGCTTGGTTCATCAATAGCATCCCCACATATACTTATTTTATGACCTGCAGTAAAAAGAACATAATAATTAGAAGTTACGCTTATTTATGAAAATACGTTACAAAGATTGTTAATTCATTAACTTTGTCTCAGCTGGATTCAGGCTGGTGGAGCAGTGCTAGAAAATGCAAGGAATGAAAATGGGGGAGGTGAAAAGGAGCCTGGGAAACCAGTATAAGATTCCAATTAAATGAAAAGCACATCACAAATGCACAACAGTCAACAACTTGCCTGTTTTCTGACCTTGTTGAACTGAACCTTTATTTCTGTAAAATATGATCCATCAAAAATAGTTAGCATTTTAAAAAAACCAAAATCTATAGAAACATTTTCCATTTTCTACCACATACTGTACACCTGTCCTGTCAATTCACAACCATCACAAAATTTAGTGTCTCTTATCAACGACAACTGCAAATCATCTCAATTAGGGCGGTAAAAGACAGATAGGTAACACATCAACCACTTACAAAATGCAAAAGTAAAAATTGCAACTTCCAGTAATTACAATACAATATAAAAAGTTAACTATACAAATTGACATGCTCTTATTAAGCTAATGAACTAAGGTAATTCTTAAATTCAGCAAGAGACGTAATACCAGTATCAGGCATATTAAGAGTAGCTGATTGTAGTCTCTAGAAGTTCTTGGGAAAATTTGAACACGTCTCTTTAAGACTTTCCTGACTTTACAGACTTTACTTGACTCTACAGACTTTACTGCAAGTGCATCTCTATAAAAGGCAGTGAGAGTATGACCAGTTGGTTTCAACTCAAAAGATACCCATACCTCCAATATGATACAACAAGCTTTTTGCCAATGGCATACTCCTCTATACGAACATTGTCTCCCCATCGCTCAACTATCAACTGTTTTGCCTATTAAGTAACAAAGAGAGAAGTGAATGAAGAAGTAAGTAATTATTACAGAAAGAACATGTATAAAATGGAATGTATGCAACAAACCTGAAAGTGAAGAACTTGCAACTGAAGAGAGAGACAAAATGAATCTGCAAACACATTGTTAAGGAATCAAACTGTGAGTGTACCAAGTCCAACTTAGTGAAAACATGTACTACTCATTAAAACTTGTGAGTAAGCTTATGAGGGCCTTTCACCCAGCAAGGAGGAAAAGCAAAATATTGAATCAATACATGCTAAAGAAACTAGGATGAGTTCCAGCAGCTACATACATTACAGGCTTGTTTTACATAGAAGTAATGTTCCATCTATAATTTATACTTTTGACCAAAGAAATGAAGAGATAAGAAATGAAGACATCAAGATTCAGTATATGTACTTCCTTGTATATATTATGTGCTAACATTGTCATGAATATGTATAACTAATTACAGTAGAGATACACGACATGTAACTTACACAGTTGCATAAGAAAGAATATGACCAAATAAAAAGAAGCAGGCAACTGAACAAAAATAGGAAGAATGTTCACAAGTTATAATAAAGGATACGTAAACATTTGTACAAGTCAACAAGTGGATTTTCCTCTGCAAACAGTCTTGACTGCACAAGCTGATGAATATATTGGGCCTGTGATAAAAGCCATAATGGTAAAGACAAATACAACTTCATCATTATGTACATCTACTGTATACAGTTTTGTGCTTAATGGGTAAAATTATCACTAATATTTATTAAAAAAACCATAAAAATAAAAATGTATTTCCTGTAACACTAAAAATTTACCTGAAGGACATGAACAAGTGACTTCCCATCTGTTAACAAAAAAAATATCATACTTAAGATTTGAAATAAATCAGAAAAATCTGTCATTGTCGATAAAAAAATAGTTTACTAATACTTTCTACTATATTCAACAACCTTACCACCAGTTTCCATATCTTGAACCAAAAAGTCAATTGATAAAACCCTCCAAGGGATTGAAGAGTCATCACCCATGAGAGTTAACATCACCTGTAATGAAGGACAAGATTAATGGTGCAAAGGAAGCTATCAGTCGCACAGAAATGAATTCAAAGTTTTTTGTAATGTATGTAACATATACTTATAATACCACAGCATAGGGCTTTCCAGGCCTAATACTAGGAAATTAGAAGCAAAAATTGCAAATAAACATTGTGTTTAAAAATCCCAACTAGCAGGAAGCAGACCAGTTGCCTATATACAAAGTGTAGCCAGCAAGTTGAAGTGAGGGCAAACAAGAAGAAATTCAGTGAGTGGCAGGGTAACAGGCTTGAACCTGGTACCACTTCATTACAAGTCTAGTGTCCTGACCACTTGGTGCCAAACTGCCTCCAGTGAGTTATAAAGGCTCTGAACATTGCTTGTGCTCCTGCTACAGCTTAAACCTATATCAGTTAGCTTAGCTTAACCCGATGGCTTCTAACTTAGGTTAACAAGAAATTATCCAATAGACATCACATCATGACAAGTACACAGTACCTCAAATTCATGTTCCACTCTGAACTTTACTCTCCCATCAGCTGCAAGGTAATGAGAACAAATCCAATGACATGATCACCTTGCATTGAATTTCAGAACCAAAAATAATAGCAGATCTTGTATGTGCGCTACAGCATTTGATACATGCATATCTCATCAGCAGTTGCAAATCATGAAGTTGTTTTTGATCAACATAGTGAAAATGAATGGCTTGCATTCAGAGTATCTGCCAGAGAATATTTTATAAATAACATTTTGGGGAAAGAAGCCTTCTTTCCCTTTGTGACCCATTCTCCTAGAATTCTCTGATCCAAATACTCCCACCTTCCAAGGTGGGAATATAAACAATCTGACTTCAAAAGGGAAAGGAGAATATCAACAGACACTTCTACAAACTGTGCATCACAGACTGAAGCTTTTTTCTTACCAATGATCATCTGACCCATCTCAGGTGGTAGTTTAGAAGTCACCAGTCTGTGTTGAATGACTTGATTTAGTCTTTGCAGTGTTTTTGTCTTTTCAACAGCAGTTATAGGGTCTGGAGGTACAATTTTATCCTGCAAGAAAAAAAAAATATATTAAAAGTTACCCAGGTATTCTTTCAAAACATAACTCTCTATTCAATAATGTCAATTTGAAAAAAAAAGGAATATATAAACTTTTTCAGGACAGTTTCCAATCAACCAAAAATCATTTAATGCAAAGGTAATTGTATCTCTACTTCATTGATAATTCTAGCTCATTTCAGACATTCTTTCATTATACAACTACATTAAACTTCTGTTGGCTGGAGAAAAAATATTCACTGTGCTCACCCTAATACATGTTGGAAGACGAGGATATGTCCCCCCAGTCAGGACATCCACTGCGGCTGGCAAACAGAAGGTGGGCAGTCTATAAAACACCAGGATAGTGAGCACATCAGTTGTGAGGAAGATTATTTTTTACACCATCCTCTAAGTTAGAGGGGAAGAGATACCATGACACAGTGAAATGAAAATAAAATGATCATATCAGTTTTGATCTAAATTATTAATAAAGAAATGGAAAATAATATATATTTAAAATAACAATACATCAAAGTTATTAAATGAAAAGTAAATGGCAACAATTGCATCTTGGTAACATTGTCATGGCAACTTTTTCCTTCATTGGGTGCTTGCTTCTGGAACAAAATCCAAGTCACAAAAAGTAATTTTTCTTACCTTGCTTTTACAAGAGTTTCTCTGGACATTCTTGCCAGCATGTCTGCAGTGTCTACAAACAGCATAGACTGTTTGTCCAAAATAGTTGAGATTGCCTGATAGGAATAAGAGTTTGGCAGGGTTAATACTATTTAATAAGGTTATCATCAATTCAGAGAAATGTGAAATGATATTGTAACAGTGGTTAGATATGAAGTACATTGTAATGTAATTCTTCTTGAATTGTTTGCAACATACAGTTGCGTGCTAGTATAACATGTGGCAGTTGTTTGTTCTTTTGTGAACTTGTCTTGTAATGTTCAATTCACTTGTCTTGTCTTTGCATTCATTTGATTAGTTTTGTTTTGTTTTCTTTAAATTACTCTCAGTGTGTTGTATATGATCTAAGGAGAAATTCCTTTTGTCACTTCTCCAAGTGAAAGGGTTAATATAATATACACATTTATTTATTTATTTAAATTTTATTTATTTATTTATTTATTTACACATAATCACAACATGTTAACAAGTAGACCAACAAGACATGACAACATTAACTAACCTGGCATTTGTCGACCCTTTCGGCACTTGCTGCCCATTTCACTAAAGCAAGCAGACGCACAAACTGCTGGCGTGTTTTACTGGCAAACTGCACAATTTCAATTTTTCTACAAAAATGGAAAATTGCAAGAGCTTCAATCACTTATTGTGGAATCCATGGATAGAGACTACATTACCCATATCTCTAGTATTTTCTTTTTAACACATGACCCTTTAAATGGGTGTTTACTTACAGATTTTCCAACTAAAAGTTGGAGTTTTTTTCTTTATTCCAGGTTCCTTACAGATCAAAGTCATTGAAAATACAAATAAACATAGTCTGAAATCATTTTGACCAGAAATCGTATTTAACTAAAACAGTATGCACATGTTACACATGTAGATTATATTCACAGCATACCTCTCTATATCAGATTTCCTTGGTAACCTGTAGAAACAAATATTGAGGTAACCGGGGTTAATGATAAGATGAAATAACACTAGTGCATTTCCTTTCTTTCTATATCATTAGTTCCATTGTTATTAATAATTATTCACCAAAGTGCAAGTGATTAGTCCTGAATATTTCCTAAGCTGCAAAGTGGCGAGATAAATACCCACCACTTTCACCAACACTGAGGTGAATAATTGTTTTTGTATATATCACACAGGTACCAAAAAAATAGTTTACTTCTTTGAACATACCAAAAAATGGACAGAAAGTAAACTTTTGATGTGTTATTTTGTCTCATCAGCTGTACAAAAGTGAACAGTACTTCCCATTTACTTCTGAAATAGCCACTCAGTGTGTGCATAGAGCATTATTCACTTGTGTGGTACATTCCTATCATGGCCACTATTATTAGTATTGCTAATTTTACCATCATTATTGTCACCTGTCGCTTGATTGTGAATTAAATGCATAAATGCTACTTTCAACCCCTTCACTCCCAAGATTTGATTGGTGATTCTCCTTACTGTCTGCTATTTAATTTTTATGGTGTTTGTTTGGAGAACTTGACATTAGATCTACTGATTCTTCCCCAATTGATATTGTTCTTTATTCTCATCTTTTGTGTGCTTGATATTGTATTGATATGGTAGTCATTCATGGGAGTTAACCCTTTAACTCCCAAGATCTGATTGTTAATTCTCCCCTGTAGCTACCACACATTTCCTTGTAAATTAGTTATGAGAACTTGGTGCTATATCAAGATAGCAGCTTCTACCTGATAAGTTTGAATATTCTCATTACCTGTCTGCTGAAGAATGTATGGGTGTTGTAGGGAGAAGTTTTATGCTAATCACTTCTGGGAGGTAAGGGGTTAAAGAGTTGAGAGAATTTAGATCAAGATGTGACACTTCTCAGGTCAAAAGGAGTGAGAGGTATAGAACTGATAAAATATCACAAAAGCTAGTTTCTCCAGGACTAGCTCTTTCAATGCAAACTATTCCTAACCCTAGTCTGTCAAAGTCACAGATATCAGGTGTCTCCATTGCAAGATCTCTGTTGCAAGGCCTTCTCAAAAGGACTTGAGCTTTTATAAACTTGACATTAGATCTACGAGACAATTTAAATGTAAACTTACAGTACATGTAAATGTACCGCACACATAAAAATCGTGCGTGGTTCTAATAAGTTTAGAACTTCAAATTCATTTGACAACACTTCCGCACGAGTCTGGAATCTTAAGATTCTGCATAGGATTTTAGATTGAAGAGAACTTATAAACGTAGACTCTAAGGAAAGATACGAGAAAAATACTAATAAACAGACTTCAAAATTCTTGCAAACGCATTTCGAAGACATATTCGACAAATATAATTATCCTGTGCTTCCTTTATATGGTCAGATGACAATATTTAACCTGCAGATCAGAGATTCACCGGTAAAAAAATTCTCAAACCTTCTATATATACTTGAAAGTTAAATTTAAAGTGTAAAATTCCCAACAAATTAACGAGAGCTAAAAGACTTAAAAAATTTGTACCACGAATACCCGGTCGGAAGATAGAATTCCTTCCTGGATGCACAGTTTTTTAATCACGCTAAAAATCAAAAAGGGGTAATTGCATCATCCTGAATACTCACAGTTCTGACAGCACTGTTAGATCATGATAAGTCTTCTGTAGAAGGAAATCAACCAACATAGAAAGATTGATTTTTGTGCCACTGTCGGCAGAGACTTCCATAGGCGCCATGTTTGCGCGTACGCCTATGCTCGCTGGCTCGTTCTCATAAACAAAGTATGCGCGGCGCTGTTACATGTAGTTCCGTCTTCAACATGGCGATTCGGCCAGTCAGGTGATTCGACTGACCAATTGATCTTGTTTCACAATGGAGTCTTGATGAGTTTGCACGACTGGAATGGCCAGTAAAGAAAGTCTTGGAAGAGTGAGACATTTTGATCTTAGTTCAAAACAGGTTCGTGTACATTTTTCTCTACAGGTATATAATTTTATTCCTCAGTAGTTAGGAAGTCTCCTGCGAAGCTTCAAGTAGTGCAACCTAAGCCATGCGTTCTCCAAGTTATACAATATTTGTTTATCTTGATCGAATTGCAACCACGCAAAAATGCAATATCTTATTTTCATCTTCGAAACCTTCTTTCTGTTGTTCTTGGCCTTGTCATCGTTGCCCGTTCGTATCAGTTTTGCAACAATTATAATAAACATTTAAAATTATTATTAATCTTGTGGGTGAATTGAAATAAGGTCAATTTGAATTTTCGAACGCGGATATCTGCTAAGCCCCCCGATTAAATCAATAAACTGTCCAAATACCGATATCCAAATATTTTGTTTTAAGAAGTTCGAAACGCGTGCAATATCGCAACTCTCTAAAGGTTTCTTGTGACATTTTTGTTCCATATTTGGCACACTGTACGTGTCTACGAATCTTGATTAAGCTATTCTTCTACCTTACAGCTGCGACTGCGACACCTAAGAAGCATCTCTGTTCGAAAAATTATTCCAAAGTTTTCCATTTTTGGAGATGATTTGCTGGACTGCCTGCTGGAAACATACTTCACTTTGCATAGTGTTGAAGGAAATCAGAAAGGTTTTTGTTTTTAGAATAGTTGTTTAATTCTTATTGCTTGTGTGTTCGAATTTTTATGTTCAACCATTTTATTCAATTTTTGCATTTAACAACAGGTGAGAGTCTCCAGTTTGCCATACCCTCCTCCTTCACCTTGCACACCCATACAGTCATGTAACTCTCATCTCCTGTTATTTATTGCAGAATGTAGCAGATTGTTAACTATTGAATGTTACATTTTCAGATTTCTCACCCACGTCCTGCTGTCAAGAAGGTTCCATTTCTTACCCTTTCTTTTCCTTTTCCTGGGTACCTTTGCTCCATTCTGTATATTGCCTCAACTTTCCTCAAAATGAAACTCTTCTCCTTTAATTTTTGTGTACATAAAGGTTAAATTTTTGTCCAAAATCCTTATGCTTTTTGTTTGTTTCTTGCATAGCTATCTATACCAGTGAGAAAATCAAGTATTCACTGGTGAGTAATATGGATATGACTGTCATTCATTCTCTCCCACAGCCAGTTTCCTTCTCATATTTAGTTTGGTTTGTTAGATTTGCAGTCCATACAATCACTAGGTCTTTGTTTTTTAAGTTAGCTTGATTATTATTATAATTTCTATTCTTAATGTTTTATTCACAAATTAGAATCCAACATGGGCTAGTTTTGAGCCATCTTCATGGAAAGATCAACAATCAAGTGCTGTGTCTTGTATCCTTTTTTCTGAAAACCTTCACTCTAGTGATCAGCATACATTGTAGAGCCTGTTTAGTTTTTTGTGTGTAGCTCTACATGGTGAAGTTATTTTTTCCTTGATCAAAATGTCAGCTGTCATTGTTAGAGTATGGGGAGGTCAAAAAGACACATTTCAACTTATTATTGAGTGGAAGGTTCATTTGCCATCCCTGCAATACCTTGGAGAACAGGTAAATTGATAACAGTGTGTATGATTTGAAAGAAAAACATTTTGTCAACTTAGTATGTTTTCTTTATATCATGATTAGTGTTAATTATTGGTGATTTTTTCAGGCAGAACACTCAACACTCACAGTGACCCTTGATAAGGAGCAAATTGGGTAACTCCCGATGAGCAGTCTGGGAGACTTGATTAAAAGCTAGAGGGCAGGGGGGGGGGTGTCCAGCTATAGACTGGCATTTTGTCAAGGAGGAGTAGATACATGTATTCCCTCCTAGACTCTTCATGTTATAAAAAAATACATGTCAGAAAAAAACAAAAAAAGGGATAGTCAATGACAATTACAGGCCCCTTGGCCACTGAAGCAGAACCTTTTGATTTAACTCGTGACAATGCTATAATTTGATGAACTTTTCAGGTGAAGTCCAGCAAATATGGACAGAACACAGTTATCTTTGGTCTCATTGATGGGTATTACAGTGTACCTAACTGCCTGCCAAAAGAAGAGGTAAGCTGGAATAGATGATCTCTCAGCGCTTGAATTCTATTAGAACACAAATTTTGCAATAATTCTGTTAGACTGCACATAAAATCACAAGTGTTTGTGATTTTTTAAGACTGCAGGCAGTGGTGAAATTGCAGCTGTGAAAAGAAAAGATGTTATTAGAGTTGAAGTGGACCAGGTATGTGAGCAACATATGTAGTAAGTTTGACAACTGAAGACTCTATCAATTGAGATCAGGTGGAATGTACAGTTACCAAATTGTTAATATGGCATCACCAGAATGAAGGATCATTATCTGTGACATGACAGGATCTTTGTGAAGAGTTTCTGGCAATAAAATTTTGTTTTCATTACTTTGAGTGGTTCATATCAGTTACCTATGTAGACTTTACTGACAATAATCCTTTTCTGTCAATTACTAACATTAGCCAGAATTGGTTGATGACATGCCTCAACTACATTGAAAGCCACACAGTGTTTTTGCATGTATTCATAGGACTTTTCTTTTCATAGGTTCAAACATCTTGTAAACTATCATCTATTCAAAGGTATGTCCTTATTTAAACATGTATTTCAAAGTTTGTGTAGCATGGTTTGTTTAATATGGTATATGTGCATTAATTTGAAGGCCATCTTGATTCTTCTCCTCAGACTACAGACAGTACAAAAGGCCATTCTGCAGTCTCAACTGTCAGTCAGGGATGTGCGGCAGGCCATCCTATGCAAAGTTGAATCTGACATCAAGTCTACTTCACAGGTTTGTATTAAAGTTTGGGCACAAATTTCCAGATAATTTCCAATACAGGAAAAAGATGTTGTACTATATATTTTTTATTTTAATGGAATGGTGTTCTGTATGACAGTAGTGGACTCAGCATGCTTTCTGCCAAGGAGATCCTTTTAAAACCAAATTGTCAATTTTTTAATCAGCTGTAATTAAAACTCCTTTCCTTTTTGTGGCAGCTATCAGAAGAGGAGATGCTGAAGTTGAAGATCAAACTTTTAAGAGAGGAGTGCTTGTTAAAACAGAAACTCTTGTTGAAAGGTGTTTATGTACATGTAGCTTTCTCAAATAAATGTTTCTGACATTTTTATAAAAAGGGAAATTTATACATTTTTGTCAACTAAGTAATATTTTTTGCAAATTGTAGAAGGGGCAGAGGAGAAGAGTGTCTCTGAAAAACTGAAGGAAAGAGGTGAGTAATGTTTAAATTTCCAACTAAAAAGTGACTTTATTTGATCCATATCCGTGGATATCTTTGCTCTCTATCCTAGTAACCATTAGTGGTAAGTCCAGAGGGAGGGTCAGGGGGGTTTGGAGCTGATTACCCATCAGACCTGCAGGTAGTTAACTTCTTGTCTGATGCAAAAATTCTGGCAAGTCGCGTATTGCAACTCGACTACGTATGACGTGTAACTGCGAGTGAAAGGTTGGTTGAGAAGTTATTTGCAGTGGAAAACAATTCTATGTTTTTCAATCAAAGTTTAGATTCATGCCTTCTCCCCCCCCCCCCCCCCCCATCATAATGTTTCATTGCACTCGTGTAAGTTATGTTCTTTGTATTACGCCCCCGTGAATTTGTCGTTCTACAGAAATGAACCTTAAGAGGAACAGAGAGAAACTGGACTCTAATAAAGTTTGTTTGAGAGAACATAAGCAAGCACACGTAGAAAAAAGGTAAATATGTTAAAGGTATCTTCTTCCGTCACTTCATGCAGACATAAGGTCTAAATTGTAAAGATAAACAACTCTCAAGGTCATTGATTTGTGATCATGTGCTGAGGTCGTTCTAATGAGTAAGTCCTTAAAAGAACTGTTGACGATGTTTTTATAAACCATGGCAGCTTACCCTGCTTGGAGTTTTCTGTAGAATTACTCAGTAAAAACCCCATAGTTTTGAGCGTAATTTGTGATTAAAGGATATTAAACTGATATTAAAAGGTACAGCGGTCAAATGGTATCGTCAAATTAGGGAATTATTTCACGCACGTTTTGTCAAAATTCTAACACTCTATGGAGCCTTTCCCCAGTAACCCTTTGATTATACTTGCTAACTGCTGTCGGTCTGAGTGCCACGCGGATATTGTGGGGTGATTGAGATCCGCCTCAGCACTGGTTTCGATAAATCGTCATGCATGGAAGAGTCACTTCAGCGGTTGTATTTAATACCGACCTCTTTTGTTATTGCAGGGAAGCTTTCGTTAAGGTGACTGCTCAGATGAATATGAGACGACGACAACTCATCTCTGAGCTGATAACAATCTACCCCATTGTTGAGGTGAGGAATAACCATTGAGTGCAATTAGAATTACATAAGTAATCTGCTCATTCAATAAATACGCTGCCAGATAGAAAGTTCTTAAGTTTTACTTCTGATAATTGTTGTCGTTTTGGTCTTTCTGCAGTTGAAGAAATCAAAAGAATTTCTAATTTCTGGCGTGCGGCTTCCTAATTGTGAATCAGACGAATTCCAAGGTGAGAAAATGAAACCCCTCGCTTTCAAGTTCCCATCATCCAGAGTAAACATTCATTTTTGCGACAAACGATTGTAAAAAGTCACTCATCACCATTAACTGCCGCGAGCGGGTTCGACGGATCTTAACCGTCTACACGCTAACATCAGTATGCATATTCTCCATATTGTTTCCCATACATTTTCTTAAGGAGCCTACTAGGAGAATTTGTTCAACAATCAAGAGCTGTTTAATTGATGATCAATTCCTTTATTCTCGTGACCTTTATGTGTGATTCAGGGGTGATATTGTAAGGAGACTTTAGATGTCAGCCATTCTTATGGGTCAAAAAGTTAAACGATATCTACCTAATTGCAGCCATGGATGACGAGACCCTGTCGGTTGCCCTTGGTTACACGTGTCACTTGGTGTGTATGATAGCTCAATTCTTGGATCTACCTTTGAGATATCCCATGAATTCTCGCGGCTCTAGATCCACCATTATGGATTTCGCGATTGAAAAAGTTGCAGAGAAGGAGAGGCAGTGAGTACAAAGTAGTCTGTGTGGCAGGCGGTTTTGTTAGCTTGCGATGAAAAAATGAATTTGGTGTTTTATTCGAGGGCAATCTCATGCAAGTTTTATGGGCGGTCGAGGCATTCCCATCGATAAATATTAAACTACTTTCCTTGCTAATTCTGGAAGCTGTCAATTTCTTGCAACAAGTCAATGAGCAAGGCAAAACCACTTTTCTCTCGCCTCGTAGCGAGAGTAGTCCGTTTGAAAGTTTGAGATGCCGTGATTGTTTCTCGACGTGTTCGATGTCGATTGTCCAAGATTTCCCGGGTGTGACTCAGAATGTTCTTGTAGAGTGGCTCGATGGATGACTCGTTCTCCTTCTTTGCTTTTCAGGTTTCCGTTGTATAATAAGGGGAAAGAAAAAATTCAGTTCTACTATGGTACTTTTCTTTTAAACAAGAATATAGCCCAGGTAAAGTTTCTTAGTAACTCGCCTTCGTTACAGCAATTTTCTGTTGAATGTGGAAAGAAAACTATCTGGGATATCATTGGTTTTGATTTAGAGCGGTCAGTGATTGGTCCAGAAAATCTCAAGCGTCATTCTTAACCAATCATATGCAAAACCAACCCCAATGGTGACTTGGTTGCTCTTGTTTTCCTGCCCTTGAGGTAGTTTTCACAACTTACACCCTAAAACAACTAACCCAAGCTCTCATTGGTTCCTCGTGAAATTGCAGTTTTCAATTGAGTGTGGAGAAGCCAAAACCGACAAAATCCCAGCGACCAATCACAATTAAGCTTTGCATTGTCATCAGCCAATGAGGAATCAAAGTGATAACAGGAAACTTCTTGAGACGCGGGAAAGTGCGAATGACCAAGTCGCTAATGTTTTCAGTTTTGAATTTGATTGGTTGAGAGAATGGCGCAAGTATTCTGAACCAATCACGGTAAAACCAAAGCCATCTCAAATTACTTTCGACACTATTGAAAATTGTTCAAATTTACCATGTTCTGATTGGTCAGCGGATTTCGCTGGGTTTCGTTTTACGACAGTCGCTCAAAGTGTACTGTGGTTCTATAGAGATCGTGTAGAACCGTGACAACAAATAACAACCCTGCTTTTATTTTAAAATATCCTTCCTTTGCAACCGTTTAGCTTCGTCAGTTCAATGGCTTGGGGACACCGAACTTGCGCAATACTCTACCTAATCTTAAAGACTTGCTGGAAACAAAGTTCCAAACAAGGTTAGCCAAAAAATAGCATAGGTAAATAGCATAGGTATGCAATGCGTCCACACTGGAATGAGTGCATTCTAGTTTTAAAAGTAATGTTACGTTATTAAACACATGCTGTGTGTAGCTTTCCTACAGGGATACTTTGGTTTTTGCATATTTGGTAAAAATTAAAGGTTTTTTTCCATAGGAAAAGCTGACAACATGTAGCAAAGCTACAAGCGTCTTTTTTTCAGTTTGATTTTGTTGTTTAATTGTTTCAGTTTTGTTGGCCTGCACTAGGAATTCAGTTAGTAAAACGGAGCCAAACATTAAATGGCGGGACAGTAGCGGAGAATGTAAAAACGAGGATGATTTTAGGTCGTTTTTTACCTCAGCTTCAATCGCACTTCGTATCAACAACTAAACTATCTTTTGTTTTGTTTGGTTTTTTTTTGCTTGATTGTTTCAGGATACATTCTTCAGTAGGAAGTAATTTTTTTGCGGCTAATGGTTAATATTTTTCTCCCAGTGAAAAATCTGCACCTCTCACAATCATACGGAAGTCTCCATTGAAACACAGCCATAAACGCTCATCTACATCAGGTGAATCGGGAGAATCTTCTCCTTCGAATCCCAAACTTGAGGATGTTCTTCTTAGGACAATGAGTGCCTCCAGATCCGAGGCGAAGTCTGTTATGCCGGAAGCTCTGAGTGCAGCGCAAGTTAATCTTGTTCCGAATGCAGAAACTACTGTTACGAAAGGAGATGACCCGAATCCACCAACTCAACATGATTCGGTTGACTCGCTGGAAAAGCCTGTGTCGGATGATCGCGGGAAGGTTGCTACTGCTTCCTTAACAGACAGCTCACTGTTGCACATACCCGCGCAAGGAACGAGTCATTTAAAGTTTCTCGAACAACAGCGTTCCAAAAAAACCACTAAACTCGAAGACACTAAAAATACTAAGACTAAATCTCCAAGGACACTCTCCCTGAAGGGCCACAGACCATCGAATGTGGAGAAACGAAAGCTGGTCAAGAATAACAGTATGGATACCGGAATTGTAAATAAAGGAGTCGCATCTAAACTAGCGGATGGTACTGTTAATAACTTGATTTCAAGTGCGGGAAAACGTGATATTTCTGGTCGTCAACACTCAGAAAGTTCGAGACAAGGTAAGGCGAATGGTACAGTGGATCGCTTTGATATAGATCGTGCCAATAAGTGCGTCGTTTAACGCTGTAATATGTGAATTTTTTTTTTTGATTTTGTTGTTGTAGTTGGCTCTTCTGCCCCCAATGGAGAACCCTCTACTGTGAAAGGAGACACCAGCAGCGGTAAAGCCGATGTGTTGAACAAACCAAGCGAATCTGATAAACCGTTGTTCCGTAACGACGAACTTCGCGCTAAAAGGAATTATTTGTTCGATGTGGAGGGATCTCTTAATTTCGACAGTTTCTGCGAAAATGGAGATATAGATTTAAGATGAAAACGGAATTTTTTTTCAAAGATGTGTGTGTTGTACACAAAAATTATGCCCGTTAGCAATTTCCAAGATTTCATATGATGAAATTTTTTTTAATAAAATAAGATGTCGCTAATTTACAATAATTTCAAATCTCAACCTCTCTTAGCTTGGAACCAGACAGTGAAAATAATTGGGGAATGGTACAGAAAAAAATAAAAACGCAGAAACTGCCTGTTTTTTTTTCCGGTCCCGTTCCCCAATAATGTGGCCATATGATTTTTCAATGAGGATTCTGGTCTAAGGCGACACCGCCACGGATCTTTTGTGCGTCAATCCATGCAGCGTCGCTTTTATTTCTTGGCAGAAGTTCTTATGCCAAAACAGATTAGTTGGTTGAATTCTTAAAATGTTTTTCTTTTTCCAGGTAAAGAAAATGACCTGTTTTTGCAAAGAAATCTGATATATGATAACGAAACTGAGGGATCTCTAAGGGAATAGTGGTAAAGTAATAACAATTGGGGAAATTTTAAGTTCTTGGTGGCTAAGGTTATTAATCTCTTTTTCTGACTGTTTAGCGAATATGAATGAAACTTAAATGGAACAGAAGACCTGCATTGAGGACAGATCCATAAACCCACACATATTATTTAGGAGATGTGAACATTTTCTTTCTGTCTGACCAATCCCCCTTCTCCTTGTGATTTTATGTCTTTCATCGAGTCCAATCTTACCCACCTCGGGATGGTGTCTCATGGATTTAGTATAAGTGGTGGCCTGGGCACGAGGGATTTTTTGTTCCTAAACTCTTTACACCTTCTGATTTGTTTCTGGTATTTCTGTGACTACTGTGGAATAATATATTGATAACTGAATAAACAGAACTTTGAAACTGTTTTTGTTACTTATTTACTTGTTTGTTCTTCCGTTTGTTTGTTTAGATCGTAAAATTTGCTTGACAGTTGGCGATGTTAGAGTGTCATGTGGTTTCGGCCGGGGATGTTAATATCGCCAAGCATTATATTTGTGTTGTGAGCGAAAGATATCTTTTACAATTTTTCGTGTTTTCTGTGAGACGTATCATCCTCGATGCCAAAAACAATCCTAGACCTTTCCCTTGAACATGTGATTCGATCCGCATGCAAATGACTCATTCTCACACTTGGCCTCGTTTGGTAATGAGACTCTAGTCAACCTGGAAATGGGTTTTCTACTTTTATGAAATTCCTTTCTCTTAACCTGCGCTCTGATCCTTCAAAATATGTCGTTCATTCGACCAGAAATTGGCTCCGGTTCACCATTATCGTCCACGTGCTTCCCACGTCCGATTTCGCCCCTCCCCCCTCCCCCCCCAACCTTTCTCCCACTTTCTTCCAGCTTACCCTTACAATAGCCTAGATTAAAAAGGAAATAACATTTGGTTATGTTAAATGTCGGAGTAGTGTATTTCGCGTAATAAAGAGATGAAAGTAAATTGCAAAGGAACCCTGGAGTGTACGCAGCACTCGAAATCAGGCATTTTAGGAGTTTCTTTTTTACAAAATTCTCCTTGAGCCCCTAGAACCAAAAATTCTGTTTAATGACAAAGGCAAGAGTAGTAACTCATGAATACTAAGGTATCCAACAATTACTCAGATATTTCCAAATTTCTCTAATTATTATGCAAATAGTATTTTATGTACACTTAATTGACGTTACTATGCTTTATTGAAAGAAATTAAGGCAGTAATAAAAATTTTTCAAAGCTTTTTGCGTCAATAGAAAATTACGTACACCGTGATGTACTATGATATCATGAAAATGTTTGAACCGAAAATTGATCCTTAAGATAAAAAAATTAAATTGATTAAGAAAGCTTAAAAAAATTTATAAAGTACTTTCAAAAAACTCAAGCGTTGAGTCTGTCAGCTCTTAGCTATGCATATAGCGGTCTCTCAACTATTACATCAGCGAATATATATACATAACTACTATATTTAGAAATCTTTCACCACTTCACTGCTGAATCAATGCTTGCAAAAGCGTTTGTTTTCATGTTTCGGCCGCTGTAATACAATTTTTTAACAATACTGATCTCATTACATCGTATATTTACAGCAAAATTGAAAATATTGTGCGCCATGCTTTTTGTAATTTACATATGGGAAGCTATCAGACCATTTTGTCGCGTCAGACAGTCTAAAATTTTAATTAACGCACATCTAAAATTCAGGTGAAAAACTGACAGATAAAGCTCATTTCCACCACCTCTTGCTAAGCAAGAGCTTAACCTGAAAATCTGTTTTCCGTTCCAATGGTGTATATTAATTTTGATCCAGATATGTTATCCTGCGTTACGTAGTGTTATGGTACGTTACGTTACGGTGATGAGATGACATGTTTACAACCGGTGCCGAGACGTGAATAACTCTTGCCAGTGTAAAACAGGGATATTTTGATTACGTAACTGTGCAACAGACATCTTACAACTGGAAAGTGATATGGAGTTCGTCAAGTACATTGGATATTGCGGCAAGACATGACGCCTGCAAGACAGAGTATTTATGACAAATGTAAAAAAAGCAAAATCTCATAAAGTTTGAGTAATTTTTTTTATTTATTAATTTAATTTAGCCAGGGAACCTTGCTCACATAATACAAATAAATTACAGTTTTCCCCATTTTAGAAAACCTTTGTAAAATAACGGACCACACAAACAGACGAATTTCAGCGACGGCTTTTGATTTAAAATTCTCTCTCTTTTTTTTCCCCTAATGTCTATTTATTTTTCTCTGTCGTTGTCTGAAGTGTTTACATGCAAAGGAGTTAGAAGTAAAATGATGAATAATTTATTAAGCAATACGCATTTCTTTTAGAAAGGTAAAACTAAAAGATTGCTTGATCCTAATAAATCATTTATAGCTAGATGTTCTTATTTCCACTCAGCGTACTTATTTCTGATCTCATGCAAAACAGTAGCTGTTTATAAACGCGTTAATAGCAATGATTTTTTTTAAACGTACCTTTCCAAAGGCCTGCGTTTGAAAACGTCTTCCAGCAAACGCAGCTGATCTGCAATGTTACATTCGCAGCTTTTGTTTCTGCAATCAAAGAAGGCCTCCAAGGCTTTCAAATTTGCTACTGCAAGCGAGTACTTTCCTCTCCATAAAGAGCCGTGCACTACGTCCATGCAGAATTGCTTGTCTCTTTCGCTATTTGAGCTCAGAGATGTGAAGTCGATGCTGTAATCTGGAAGTGGCATTTCACCGGTAAGGAGATGAGCTAGGTACGGCCGCAAAACATCCCAGAATTTTTCCACCTCGCAGTGAGTCCAAATTGGATCTTGCTGTCGTTTGAGACAATCATAAATCGCCATTTTTTCTTCGTTTGGTTAATACGAGATTGCAGATCTAAAAGTTACAAAATTGCAATATTTTCCGGTTTTTACAGCGAGCTTATCGTTTTTAGGCTGTCGGACCTGCAGTGTTTTCCAAATGAATTATTTGTTTACTCTATAGTAAAGAATTCTCTCTTGTGATTGGTCATAATTCTACGCTTTTGTTCGCGGTAAAATATGCTGATCCTCGGATAGAAAGATAAGGTGAACAGAATTTCTCGCGTGTCACCCGGACTTTGTTGATTTGGTTTCAGTTCACGCTACAAGAATTGTTGTCCAAGCAAATTATTTCGCCTCTTTCGCTGTGTATAATAAAATTATTACTTCTCCGTTATTTAACTTTGCAATTTGGGAAATAACATCTCTTCCCCTGAAGTCAAAACAGTCAAAGATCACGTTTGCACTAGTTCGGAAGAGTTCGGCTTCACGAGAGCCGCCGACCGTGACTTCCGAGTGTCACGATGCCGTGTCGACTTACTTTAGGGATATTAATATGGATGGCCAAAAACTTTTATCATCTGTTAGCCTGCAGCGCTTGCAGTTATCATTTCGCACTAGTAAAGATTCGCACCAAAAGAGAGCGCCGAAATGCCCGTGGGCTAACCTGACTCAAACATCACTCTTGAAACAAATTGTCATCTACACGCTATAACCACTGTTTTTGTCTAAACAATTAACCAGTTTCTTTAAGGTTCACTCATGCACTTTGTTTACCAAGAGAGGACGACTGGGCGAGAAGATTTGAGACGTGTAGCAGATGCATTCACTTAGTTTCACGATTTTCCGATCGAGGTCAAGTGAGTGTGTAAATGGGAGAGGATTACTTTTGAAACAGTCTAAAATGGTTCCTGTCTCAAGCTGAACTTTTTAACACAGTGTTGAATTAAACCATGTTTTGATCTCACTCGAGACAAGTCGCAAAAGTAAAAACATAAACAATTTAACAATTTAAATATATTTTTTAATCCAATTTTAAAAACCGTCTTTTCCAAATTATTGCGTCAGTTCGAATATTTTACATTTCTTTTTTTTTCAAATGATAAACTAAAATTAGTATAACAATCCATTACTTTGGTAATTTACTACATCGACTAAAATTGTGTCTTCATTACATTTGTACAGTAAAAGGAAAAGCACTGATTCATAACAATTTCAAAGCTGACGTTTCGAGCGTTGGCCCTTCGTCAGAGCGAATTATCATAAACAATGCATTAAACCAGCCATTGTCTATTCCGGGTTATTTCATTAATTTGAATATCCAGCGAGAGCATTTAAATCTATTTATTATTAGGGCATGGCTTGGGAAGGAGTAAGTTTTTTTGTTTTGTTTTGTCCCTTTTTTTGTTTTGTCCACTTGTGTCTCTAAAACATAGACCGGAAATTCATGAAGGAGGAGATAATTAACACCCTTATTGTGATACGACAATACCGCTTATCTGATCGAAAAATTTAAGACAATTAATTCTCGAATCTTCAAACCCTCTGGCTGCGTCTGATTAGAAGGCAACTTATCAATGTCACGTTTTTCGTTTCTGCGATAATTTGGGAAGGCTGAGACAAATTGTGTTGCATTATTAACTCCTGTGAGGGTAAATCGTCACGCGACGTACTTGTGAGTACCATCGACACTAAATGGGAGAAAAGTAGTGAAACGTGAGTTTACATAAACGAGGATAAATGGCTGATAAAGCGAGGCGAAAATGGTGCAGATTTACTGGGAAAGTAAAAGATCATTTCATGATTGAAGGGAAATTAATTTTAAATCGGTGTAGAAAGGTTAAAATAACTGCAGCACTACCTTGCAAGGGAAGCGATTGAAAGCCTTTCATCGTTTTCACGTTTTTGTGCAAATAAGAACGCTAACGGTCGTTGGAAAGAAGGAAAGGTTACCTATATTCCTGAATTTCATGCGCGGCTTTATTGTCTTATTGTGAAACTAGAATCTTTGTTGTGAGAAAATTGCAAATAATCCACACGATAGCAATTGTCGTTACCCTAACTGTCTCATCAGCCAATATTTCTTCCAGAATCATTTTATCAGCTTAGGTTATTAAGAGATGCTAACTTTTGGAGTTACTTTCACCTTAGCACAACTCATTTCCTGCCTGCTAATAACTTCTGTTTACGTAATTTCGGCCTACCAGATATGTTATCAGAGCCAATGGTGAACAAATCTCACAACAAAAAAATCGTCTAGTTATCACCTTTGTCATATCAATTAGTAACGCTCTTTCAAAACAAAGATTTTCGCACAAAATGGCAGAAATATTGATTTTAGTCGCTGATACGCAGAATTTACAGTTAACTCACTTACTAGTACGAGAAGCTTACCTATAAGTCATGGGTCTGTATTCAAATGCTTTCTTCAATTCGCGTAGTAGATCAGAAACACTAATGTGGCTATTGTTGGCACCTACGGCGCTGTCTTGAAAGAAAGTTTTGATTGCTTTTATATTAGCAACTGAGAGAGAGTATTTTCCTTTCCACATCGATTGGTGAATGATTTGGATACAGTGTTGCTTGTGCTTTTCGTTTCCCGGGTCCAGGGACGTAAAATCAATGTCGGAATCTGGTAGAGGCATTGCGCCGTTTAGTAATTGATCCAGGTATGGATGCAAAACTCGCCAGAATTTATCAATCTCAATTGTTGTCCACATGGGTTCACGAAATCCCTTCAAGTAGTCTGAAATAGCCATGCTATTTGAGGGAAATGCCTGCGGTAGTGTGATTCAGGATCGCGAGAGGCTGCTTTTACCATTTGGTCGCTTTCTAAGAGTGAAAGATCGATCGTTACGTTTGGGCAAGTATCACGAAACGTTTGTTTACAAATTACGTCACACCTGTTGGACCGGATTAGGTCAAATCATAAGAGTTACCATGTGCAAAATAGTTCCACATGAAACTTTTCCTACCGTTAAAGTGGGGTTCTGTACACATTAGAGAACTTGAGGGATCGTTTAGACGAACGAAGTTAGGGGAGAGGAATAAGCCATTTTCACTTTCCTGACCCGTGGCACTGTGATCGCCACACCGTTCTATCAGATCCCAGTGGAGCTCAAAGTCCCTGGAGAGCCACATGACTATAGTTCCGTAACTCATTTCGCACGTGATGAAACATCTTGTACATTACGCCGTAGAAATACAAAGCGTTTTCCGGTCATATTGAAAACGGCTTATATATATATTCCGTCCATACTAAAACGGTCACCGGCTGCAAAAACGTTCGCTTTCTTTCCTCAGAATGTGTTTGACAAAGGTCTCTTTAACCCGCCAAAAGTAAAAAGAGCAGTGACGTCAATGTGGTTTGTCAAGGGCTTCAGCTCGCACACGAAAGTCACCAAGAGCGCTGAAAATTTACTCGTTCCACGATTCTAGCTACTTGGCGTGCCTGGTCTCCTTTGCCACGGAAATCACTTGTTTATAAATTCTGCCGACCAAAACCTCACTGGTGGCTCATAGTCAAGTCTAGAGACTGTATAGAAACGAAAAAAAAAGAATCGAAGATTATTTCTAAGTGTAAATCGAATATACTGGCAAATACAACCTGAACAACTTCAAGTGCAGTCCGCTTAGCTTGTTAACCACCTTCCTTGGCTTAGAACCAAGTTAGATTACTTGAAACCGACCGATGTTCGTTTATAAACTATTCGTAACCAACTGACGTGAATATGGGTGTCCCTTGAGAACAACTAAACAAAGGAAATAGTCTCTTATTGTTGTAAAATTTCTTTCAGCCGACACCGTCACAGGGGTATTTTTCACGCTTTAATCCAGGAATTGTGTGAAATACGGAAGCAAGGATTTTCCCTTGAGAACAAATGAACAAAAGAAGTAGTCTCTTATCGTTGTAAAATTTCTTTCAGCCTACACAGCTACAGGAGTATTTTTCACACTCATTAAATCCAAGAATTTTAGCTTAGACACTGCACCCTGCATACAGAGAATCGGAATTCTTAGCGACGGTTTTCAGACTTATCCCTGCTATTTCTAAAGCTCATATATATAGGGAGTCTGCGAGTCGATTTTCGCGTGGAACAGTGCTCAATACGTTGAAGCAGAGCGGAATAAATATTTTAAGAGGAAAAAAGGACGCAACTATATTTCCCCGACAAGCCTGTTTCGTGAATCGCTTCACTCTTCAGGGGTTTAAACCTCTTAAATATAGGTTTTTCATCTTAAAAAATATATATATATAAGTTAAAGAATTAAAGAGGACGCATCGATTCTATGACTCTGAGTTTCGCGCCTAAGCGCTCGTCGTATATATATATATATACATTTCTGGGCCCTTTAATTTCGCTGCGCTAATCCGTTTCGTTTCGCCGGAGTCTTGCGAATCTGTGAGCCTTTTTCCTCGGTTACGTCGGTGAAATGGATTAACGCTCAGGGTCTGAGAGAACACGGCACAGGAAACACGCAACACAAAACTTTTTCCTTGGTTATATTATCTCGTGAAAAACGCTTTCCTTGGTTATATATCTAGTGAACTTAATGTTCGCGTGTTCATGTTCAACATGTACTCGTGAGTCTCTTTTAAGGACCACGTGTTGGAATGGGCTGGAATCGAAAACACAACCAATGCTCATGCACAAGATCCTCAGGAAAGCCTGGCATCTTGAACCAATTTCGCGAAAAGTCCGTTTCTACTCAGTAAGTTTGAAGGGGAATCAAACTCAGCAATGGAGCCGCTATCGAGAACCAACACCCTGCAAGTGAAACAAAACAGTTTATTTTTAACCTCAACCTCTTCAATTCCAGCAATCTTATAAATCTAGCATCAACAAGTCGTCACTGCCTTCGGCACTTTACAGGGCTATCAAATCAATTCATTCTAGAGCGGAATGGAAAAAAAAAAAAAAAAAAAAAAACAAAAAAAAAAAAAAAAAAAAAAAAAAAAAAAACGAAAACGAACCAGAACAAAAAAAAACAAGTAATGATAAAATTTAATGAACCAAAAATATATGAACTATCATGATAAGGAAAACAAACGGGCGACAGAAAGCTGAATATCACAAAATGTCGAAGTAACTAGCTCATTCCTGGGAGACCTTTTCAGATACAGAGCAGGAATTCACTCACAAGTCCTAGATTATAAAGAACTTGCTTTACACTTGCTTCACCACGAACGTTGGAGAAGATCCCTTTCTAATCATGACAGAACTCACAAGTCGAGCAAAAGCTACTGACCTGTCATAATCCATAATGGTGTTGAGCCTGTGAGCTATGGTGAATACTGTGCGGTCAGCAAACTCTCGCCGAATCGTTTGCTGAATGAGTTCATCAGTCTCTAAGTCCACCGCAGCCGTGGCTTCGTCCAGAACCAAGATCTTACTTTTACGCAGCAGCGCACGCGCTAAGCACACCAACTGACGTTGACCAACACTGTGGAGTACAGCCAGTATGAATAATTTGTTTTTTACATGTAATAAAGTTAAAAGAAAAAGTTCGTCAAGTTAATCACCTCAAGTTCTCTCCTCCCTCTGCAATTGTGTACTGAAGTCCTTCATTAAGCCCTGAGACAAAGTTCTTCAGGTGACTCACTTCCAACACGTGCCATAGCTGGTCATCAGTGTATTTGTTGAAAGGATCCAAGTTAAGTCGAAGGCTCCCAGAGAACAGCACTGGATCCTGTTGCATTATTCATGCCAAGAATCAGAAGGATTATGTTACGAAAAAATAACACTAACAGTAACAGCAAAGACAACAACAAACAAAATTAAATTTGATCGAGAAAAACAGCAAGCTCTTGGATCACAAGTTTTGGATCATTTGCTACCAGCCCTTCGTAGACTATGATAACATCTCCTTGTGGGACCGAAGGCCCCAAGGGCGTAGCCCCACCCTGCGTAGACCTTTTCGAAGTAAAACACGGCACCAGGACCTCTCACTCAGGAGTCCAGCGTACTTATCAACAGACCATCACATCTCATATACACACGTGTCCGCACACGTGTCAATATTGCTTAAACACGTATACCTATACTGTGCTATTACCTGTGGGATGATGGTTAGCCGCGAGCGTAAATCCTGCAGCCCAAGGGTAGCGATGTCAACACCATCGATGGTTATTTTTCCACCAGCTCTCTCCAGAATACGGAATAAAGCCAATGTCAATGACGACTTTCCCGCTCCAGTTCGGCCAACAATGCCTATCTGTTGGAATTGAAAAAAAGACACCAAAATATGAAGTGATTTTACAACCTGATTGAACATAAACCCGGATAGGAGCGTGGGGTAAATAGCATGAACTTGACTCTGATTAGGACTTCCGCTCGGGTTGTCGAAACATTAGTCACCCAGTGCCAATGACAGTAGTTCTTTCAACCCTTTCAATTCAAGGCTCTCTTCAGTAATTCTCCTTACTGTCTGCCACACATCTCTTATGATGTAAGTTCGGAGAATTTGGTATTGGATCAACTTGTAATTCCCCAAATAATATTTTTCTTTGTTCTCATCACTTGTCTGCTTGATATTGCATTGATATTTTAGGAGAAATTCTATCTTGGTCACCCATGGGAGTTAAAGGGCTGAGGCCTTCACTCACCCAGACGATCAGACTTCACGGTCAAATGCATATGAAAGTGTAAGTTTACAGTTCGCTGGCCCTCAATATCATCACTGTACAATTTGACGTTAGCCACGGCAGCTTTCCAGTCAACAATAATACATTACGCGCAAAGCTTAAGATTAAGAACGATTTCAAAAGTCGAACTTCGTAATTTTAGTCTCTCCACCAAAGACAGAGAAAAAGTACCCAGTTGATCCACAAAGCCTCATCCAGGAGCCATTCCTCACTATTTGACATTTCTGTCTTCATTAACCCTTTAACTCCCAAGATCTGATAGTTGATTCTCCCCTCTAGCTACTACACATTCCCTAGTAAATTAGTATCGAGAATTTGGTATTAAATCAAGATGACAAAAACTACCTGATAAGTTTGATTATTCTCATTACCTGCTTGCTGGGTGATGGTAAAGAAGAAAAGTTACATGTTAATTAGTGATAGGAAACCAAAATAAAAAAACATAGTGGGACGATTAACCGTTTAGATATACCCTGGCTTGTTTGTGTACCTTTTCTCCTGGTTTAATATCGCAGCTGATCTGTTTCAGTACAAGAGGTAATCCTTCTCTGTATTTCAAGTCAAATTGATCCATTATAATCCGTCCAGTAAACGGCCAGTCGTCTGGCGGTCGATTTTCTGGGATGATCCATCTAGCCTATGCACAAAATAGTTGATATAATGATTGAAAATGAATGGATAAAGAAAATGACCTGGATCAAACCAAACTACAAATCAAACAAGTTTAAAATCATTTTGGGTTAAATTTTTGAGAAACCTACAACTATCACGCAATAAAACCCTCGAGCTCAGAATTTAATAGTTTTAAATTCTTATTGCTATTATTGTTATTAGTTACCTCTGTATCTGTTTCTGAATATTCTTTCACTCTTTCAACGGAAACAAGTTGAGTTTCTAGTTCACTCGTCATGCGCACTGCCCAGTTGAGAGTTTCCGTAATCTAAAGACAACACAGAAGAAGTAAATGAATCTAGATAAATTGATAACTTCTTTAGACAAAAGTGCCGCTTAAGCTTCCAGCTGTGGTTTCTATAGGCGAGTGAAACAACGCGTTCAGCTTGTGCTATGGTTTAGTATCGGTATGTTCACTAACAAGCAAAGAAATGATCCTCACAGGTCACGTGGCTGGACTTCGATCTTAGAAATTGCAGAAACGAAGCACGGGAAAAATTCCCGGCTTCGACGGGATTCGAACCCATGCCTCCCAGAGCGGACTAGTAGCGCGCAACTACCGACTGAGCTACGAAGCCACACGTTGGGAGCGAGGCAAATGTTTGACCGTTTCTTTTACTACATCCGAGCTTAGCCAATGTACTCACCTCTAACGAATATGTTAACGACATTCCCACCAATCCACTCATGATTTTGTCTCTGCTTAAGACAGCAAATAACCCAGCGAATAATATCAAGCAGTTACCGAGAAATTCAAGACGAACTGCGAGCCACCTGTGAAGACAATGAAAACAATGTATCAATTATCCACATTTAAAACGAACACCTTGGATCAAGTAGAGCCAATTTCTGTCCCTAGCTTTGTCTTCCTACATTTATTGTGAAACAAAACTGTATTCAACTGACACCTGTATCACTTGCGCGTGGAAACAAAAAAAAAACCTTTAAGTATCCAAAACATGGATGAGCAGATATGTTACGACGTTAAATTAACATAGACGAACCGCACGTACTCCACTATCTCCAATCACATTGACATTAAATTCAGTTTAGCAATCCCGGCCAAAACAGAGCTTACGTGGAAAAAAAAAGAAAGAAAAGAAACGAAACGTCAGCTTTGAAACTCCAATGAATCCTCCGAGATCTGCCTTTACTTGCTCTTCCTCACCTGTTTGAGGATACAGTAGAATAGTAAGCCACTTGATTCTCATCTGTTCTATAGTAATTATCGAGGATAAAACGGCGTTGTTGAGAATATGCTCGTATGGTGCTGGCGCCGTTCACTGTTTCCAGGAAGTGACTATAGATTGGTGACCGACTGACGGACTCGATCCTCTTCAACTGCCGCGAAGTTGCTACATAAACTCTCTGTAGAAATATATTAAAACAGTTCAATGCTCTTAACATAACGACCAAGGGGAAAAATTAGTCAATTCTCGGTTAAGGAAATACTGTTCGCCAAAATTAATGCAAGTTGGATAATTTAGGCTAAAACTTGCTGGAGTAGAATTAAATTTGAGACTGCTAAAATGTTCTCGTTACGTAATTAATGCAATCCGTGCTGACAAATTTTGTTCATGGCAACTTTTGTCGAGGTCCGCTAGTCTTAGAAAGTCTACCAGGAGAAATAACAGGTCACCTTCTTCCACATATACAAACAAGGAAAACTCGTCACAGCAAAAGCGGGCCCAAGGCTTTCTTTACGCCTTGGTTCACTCACCTGTATATAAAAATAAAAAATTGCAACAACAGGCAACGTAGCTAAAAACAGCGGAGTGGCGTAACTAATCGCTACGATCATCCCAATAATTTCGAGTGAACACCACATAAAATCCGTGACACACCGCGGTATGGTATCATCAATAGTGTACAAATCTTTCGAGAACCTGTTGACAATTCTCCCCAGTGGGGTGGTGTCAAAGAAGCTCATTGGTGAATGCATGACGTTGACTAGAAGGTTGCGGTGCAACCTTCGAGATGCTCTCATAGCTCCAACTGTGACAAAAATAGAAACAAGGAAAGTGAAGAATCCTTGACCCAAACCGAGGCCACCGTAAATTCCCAAGTACAAGTTTCTTTGTTCGTCTGTAGTGACATTTGCCGAGCTCCAGTACGCCAGCCATATTCCTGTCCCTACTGTGCACGCTTCCATCAGGAGAAAGGACACTATGGTTAGGAAGGAAGCGCAACAGCCCACAGACTTGAGATAGGAGAAGAATACTGCGAACTTGACCTAAAACAATGCGAGAAGTCACATTATTGATACTTATAACCCTTCCGTTCCAAGATCTCATTGGTAATTCTCCCTACTGTGTGCCATATAATTCTTAGGTGGTTAGTTTGGAGAATTTAGTATTAGAGCCACCTATAATCCCCTAATTTATATTTTTCTGTATTCTCATCACTTGTCTGCTTCATATAGTATTGATATTGTAAGGAGAAATTCTCTCTTGGTCACTTGTGGGAGTTAGAGGATAAAGACAAAGGCAGGGACTGTAACAAGGATACTAACAGTAATATTGATAACGATTAACAATGGAAACGATAATGACGATAATAATGATGATGGTGATGATGAAGCTCAAAACTTAAATTGAAAACAATAACGATGATGAAAATGACAACGACGCTGATAATAATCGTGACATCGATAATGACAGTGACAGTGATAACGGTAAGAATAATTACACCGATGAAATAAAGAATCACAAAAATAATTAACAAGCGAGTAAAATACTGAAACGATGGCAGGTCTCTCAACAATTCTTCACCCGTAGGTGAAAGTTTGGTTGGCAACTTGTGCATAAAGCTCTTTATCTAATTACTCACTCTTCCAGTCTCTGAGCGTTCCTCCTCAATCATTTTTCCCAGTTCGTCCTCATCGTCGTTTTCATCCTTCTGACTAACTTCCTTAACATCAGAACTGCTTGCTTTGGAGCTAGCCTTCGCAACAGATCCCTGTTCCTCATTTTCTAGAAAAAACAAACAACAACACACACATAAACAAAAAATGTACAAAAGGGAATTTGAGCAAGTCAAGGCGAAAAGTTCGAAAATTCGAGTTTCACGCTTTGGTTATAAAGCCACATGTTTCTCCCTTAGACCTGATAAACCATAATCGTGGAAGTGGATAAAAAATGCAGCAAAAGCACTTTGGATGAAAGTTTATACAAGAGAAATCATAACAACCAGGTCAATAAGTATTGGGAGAAACGAAACCTCGTGCCCTCCCCTCCTTCCCTTGTGATAAAAAAGCCATCTTTTTTCACCTGTTGAGTTGACTGAAGAGTGGTTTTCCGATGAGTAGGTTTGTAAGAATTCCGCGAAGGCTCCTGAGTTGGCCATCAACTCTGAGTAAGTACCGCACTGAAAAAACAAACAAACAATAAATTACCAACAATTATCGTATCGTTGGTGGGGAGAATAGCTTAGTTCTTGTGTAAGGCTTAATTGGCGACAGTCTCCAGTGCCATTGAGCTTCCTGTTGGACGCCTATCGATTGAATGCCGAAAAATATGAATTCTCTTTTATGTGCTTTGCTAGGCAGCAATGGCGACGTAGTTCTTCCTTTCAATTGTGTGTTTTAAAAGGTCTGTTGCATAGTTTGAGTTTTTTGTAACCGACCTTTGCAACATTGCCAAAAATTCATTGACTTTGCCACCGTGAGATTTTTTTATTACTTTTACCCAAGTGCACAAGAGAGATCGTTCCCGTTCGACGAGTTCTATTTATGGTGTTTTGTGGCACACGAGCTTTCATTTATCTCCATATACAATGCCATTAAGGATGAACAATAAACAAACCTCGGTAATTCTTCCATCCTTGAGCACGATAATTTGATCCATTTGTGGAAGAAAATGAACTCCATGAGTCACGAGCAAACGAGTCTGTAAAGAAACAAAAAAAAAAAGGCGAACTTCACTATAATCAAACACTTAGGAACTCACAAGTCTCAATATACACTGAATTCACGATAAAGGGCCCACTAATAATCTCAAAATTCCTTGAATCAAATTGTGAAGGCAGTTAATAAACAGACTAGCCGTGGGATTGAGCTTGCCTGCCTGCTAACATTTAAAATGAAGTACTGATCGCAAAACATATAACGCTGCCCAGGGAATGAGCCTGCAAGCTCTAAAACACGAACTCTAGCAAACCTTATTTTTTAACATTCCTCGTGGCCCTACAACGTTCTCAAATATGTGTTTTCCAACATGTGAGTCCACAGCACTGAGCGGATCGTCCAACAAGTAGATATCAGCATTGAAGTACACAGCACGAGCCAAGCTTACACGTTGTTTTTGTCCACCACTAAGATTAATACCCTTAAAGGAGGAGAAAAAAATGGTTAAAACAAAATGAAATTTTCGAATACATAGGAAAGCACCAGGAGTCATGAACAATAGAGTTGACATCAACGGGAATAAAAGGTAAATACCTCATAGAAAACGTGGAAGTCTCATCATTTTTTTAATCATTTTGGTTCTTTTTCCCAAAACAACCATGTGTGGAGCCATAGTCTAAGGAATTGGATAGCTTACAAAGTATGCCTACTTTGGTGTTGTTATAAATTTATGCACTTTTAATTATATTGGTATTAATGTTCAGACGCCCTTTTGGACTAAGAGAGGTCTGTTGAGAATCCTAGCTCCTTTGAAAAGAAACAAAAGAACATACTCGCTCTCCAATTTCTGTGGAGTCACCGGCGGGAAGAATTTCCAGGTCAGGTCTCAAAGCACACGAATCAAGCACGTTTTCGTAGCGTGCAGAATCCATGGCTTTGCAGAACAGAATATTGTCTCGTAAAGTTGCGTTCTGTATCCAGGCCTGCTGAGCAACATACGCCACAGATCCCTACAAATATGCGAAATACAAGAAAACAGGATGTAAACCGCTTCAAGCGCAGGAAAAGCGAAAGTGATCACGTCGGAATTGGTTGTAGTTTGCATTTTAATAGCTCGTTTAACAAATAGATATCAGCTTTGACAAGACGCTATCAGCAATTGCTTCAGGGCTAAATTCACGCGAGAGCAAAGCAATGTAAAACTAACGCAATCCATGATCACCTTTGAAAAATAATTGAACAACGTTCTACAGAGTTCTCACCTCCACAGAGACATTTCCATCCACTTTCTCGGCATCTCCAAGGAGGGCAGAAAGTAAGGAAGATTTTCCACATCCAACCTGCCCGACTATGGCGACAAGTGAGCCACTAGGAATTTGCAACGACACCCTGGAAAAAAAACCCCTCACTGGTTAAGTTTCAACCAACAAACGTCTCATAATTCTCATTTACTTGTGCATCATTTGCGCGCGTTTATAGGAGACGGTTTTACTTCCGTTTGGAGATACTTCCAGCGTATAAAACATTAGCTATTTACATGTAATGCTCTTTTCAATTTCGCCGTTAACTTTCAAAACTCACTCTTTCAACACAGGTGCATTTCTGCTGCTCCACGTAAATGTACCATTCTCGATAGACACGGCAGAGGACGACACTGTAAAATAAAATATACATAAACAAATAAAACACAATAAAAAAAGGACGTGAATGAGGCAGTAGGCAAAATTTCTTCCGGATTTGAAAGGAATTAAAACAGAACAAGGCGTAGTAAACGAGTTCATTTTGTGTGGTGCTTCCCCCACTGCCTGTTGTTGTTATTGTGATTGTCGCTGTTGTTGCTAATGCTTTTGTCTTTGTCTTTGAGGACCATGTTGTCATTATAGTTGATGTTGCCTTCAATGTTGTGTTTCCTCTCTCCTTTTCGCTGAGGAGATCGTTCTTTACATCATTAGTCCTTGCGAGCAGGTTACCATTTAAAAGTTGACGAACAGTTTATTGAATGATTATCTTAAAATGACAAGAAGGTGAACAGGAAATCTTACATGTTGTTCTTTGGACACTGTTGAGGTCCAGTTCCTCTAGGTTTAGAAAATCTTGCAGCCTCTTCAGAGATACACTTGCCTGTTGAACAAACAAACAAATAAACAAATGAACCAATGAATAAACAAAAACAAGAAAACTTCCAGTAAATTCCCATGCGGATAATGTTTCAAAATTCTGAGTTAAAGTCACTTTTAAAATCTTCGATGAAATAAAGGGTCATTTTGTTGATGTGAGTTTACTAATTAGATTTAGAGAACAACAACAAAAGAGGGTTAAATATTCGAATTACCTGAACACAGGAAACGATGACATCGGGAAGCATGACAAGTGGGAAGCGCATCACATTAAAAAGCGCCAAGGCAACGAAAGCTTTACTAGCTGTTAGCAAATTGCCAGTAATTACATAGATCGCAAATGTGGTGACTGCCACCTGAAGAAAGTAGAAAAAAAAAGATGCACACAACGGTTTAGAAGAACATTTACTCAGTTTGACCAATCGCTAAAAAGCAACTGTCCGGCTCTAATTATAAATTGAAGACTTTTTGCTATTTGACATACATTACATAAAAAAATGGTTTAGGAGTACATTTGATTGCGTAGTCTGATCATTCGGTTGAGTTAAGTTGTTTATGAAGTAAGAAATAAACGTGAGTTAAAATTGTACTAGAAAGTAGAGCATAAAAAAGTTCACTTAGGTATGTTCCACTGTAACTGGCTGACTCTAGACTTTATCTTGGTTTGTTTGATTTTTGTTTGTTTGTTTCGATTGAGTGTCATAAAATCAAATCCAAAGCAACTACAACGGCCAATCAGAAGAGAGAGAATCATCGCCAGAAGAGCCAATGAGAACTCAAAGTAAAAACAAGCAAACTACCTAAAGCGCGGGAAAACGCGGGCGACCAAGTCGTAATTGGTGTTAGTTTTGAATCCGACTGGCTAAGAGTGGCGCGAATTTTCTCAACCAATCACAGAGCAACGAAACGCAATCTCGGATTACTTCCTACACTCAATTAAAAAATGGCTTACAACGATCACTAGCGTTGCTTCCCTTTGCTCGTTTGGGTTTTGGAAAGAGAAAACCTGAGAAGTCTTGATTAGCAACTTACTAATGTCGGTGCACAGCCAAACGTAAACATAAATCCTGCCGCCCAGAAATCAGAATTCCTCAAGTACTTTAGCTCTTTTTTACGTTTTATTTCCACCTCTTTCATGAAGGACTCCTCCCAAGCGTACAACTTGAGGACCTGGAAACAAACAATTATATCAATCAACACGACAAGTCGCAGTTAATTCATAGATTGATCGATCGATACTAACTTTCTCTTTCAATTCATCCACAAATCAGACAATGACCGTCCCACTAGGTCTATTAACCGTTAACACCCTTACATCAGTATTTATATTCTCCTTACTGTTCTCCATACAATTCGTAAGGTGCTGACAAGGAGAATTTGTCTCACAATCTTTCCCTTAGTTGGTAGAATTTCCTTTGTTCTCGTGACCCTAAGTTGCAGAAACTTACCTTTATTCCGCTAAGAATTTCATTCATCAGTTTAATCCTTTCATCTTTCTCACTCATTTGTTTTACCTGTAGGTTCGTTTAAAATAGAATAATTTCAAATATCTTTCATTTTGCAACCCCCATCAAGTTACGAGGAATATCAATTGCATAAATTGTTTCAGTCAACCTCTTTAATTAAGTTGTCAAAACGAAAAGTGCAGCTAAATATTTAACATTTCAGGTTACCCTAGACAATTGAGGCTGTATGTCTAAGCTACTTAATAAAAAATGTAGCCACTTTTGATGGCAGATGCCAAAAGCCGTTTTACCATAAGGCTGTTCAAACTGTAACATCACAACTGTTTGTTAAGGGGGGTTATGAGGATTGGTGTTTTCATTTAACGGCGATCACATCAGCTACAGAAGTCCGAGATCAAACACTGCAGTATATAAACTAGGCATGTGGCTGGTCTTTGCTCCTAGGTTCGAGGGGGAGGAGCGTAGGCTCATATTCCCAAACAGCGGCTGGTAATCGAATATAAACCTGCAAACCTGAAACCTGTATTTCTATCTGCCGTGAAATCGGATTGGAACATGAGGCATCCATACTCTTTTTAGAAACTAAAGTGTGTGCTCTACAGCAAAATAACAGTGCAAAGACGTTCAAGGAAACCATAACAGTAGCAGTATAAGTAAAAATCTACCACAATACTAGAGGTGCTTGTTGTTGAGAACAACAAAATCAAAGGTGTGCTATTTCTGACCAAAACTGGTCTATTAACTGACCTGAAGAGTACTCATTCTACTTCCAAAAAACATATTTAATGGAATAATTAGAATCATGACTCCTAGTCCAGCCAGAATGGAGAGTCCAAGAGTACTATAGAGAAAGTATAGAGAACCAGCGATCTGAAGTGGACTCGACCACAATGAGTTTATGTAAGTCGTGAGCTCCATCAGGCGCTGTGCATCCACTGACATCAGGTTCACAAGCTCGCCTGCTGTTGTCTTCCCTTTAGCCTTGCTGTTCAATACTAGAGCCTATGAAATACACACAAAAGAATATAATGCGAGCTCTACTTGTCTTTATGTGTTTCAAGCCTGCACATAATTTTGGCGAGTGAATGCTTAATATTTTGTTGGTGAACATTATAGTTGCCATATTTCGTATTTTAGACAGTGGAAAACTGGGGAGAGAAAGAAATTTATACCAAGGGGGTGAGTGTCAGTCAAAAAAGGGTTGAAAGAGGGTGGAGTCTTCTCGCCTTGCCCCCTACCCCCTTCACCCTTCACCCACATAGTCCACTCTACTATAATCACACACCAAGCGTAAAGAACTCAACTGATCTGCACTTCAAAGTAGCTCTTCACAAACTAAGGCACTTCTGCTGGAATGACTGTGGTACAGGGGTACTACATGACTGTAGATATATGAAAATCATATATGTGCACTGCAGGTGAAGAAATTAATATAGAAGCGATCCTCACAGTAATGAACACTACTGAACTAGTAGTTGAACTAAGGCCTGAAAAAAATTCAGGCATGTAAGGGATTTGAACCCATGACCTCTGCAATACTGGTGCAGCACTCTACCAACTGAACTAACAAGCCAGCTGGGAGCTGGCTGGTTAGTTTAATTTTCTACTTAGAACTTAAGTGATATGATTTAATGAAAGGAAATAATGAAAGATGCAATCTTTTTTGAATCACACTCTCAGATATTCACCAACATATGTCGCTCCTGCATCTACACAAATGATTAGCAGAAACCAGGAAAACAAACAAACTGATCTCAGCTTTTAGATTTTCCAACTCACAAGTATCTCAGTTACCTTTTCATAAACCAAACCAATGATGCCTGTGCGCATTCTCATGCCAATCTGTTGCATAATGTGGAAATACTGGTGAAGTGCCAATGACTGAATAGCAGCTACTCCAAACATGGCCCCGGCATATGCATAACCCTTCCACTCCTTCCATGGACCAAACATATCATCTTTGTCTTCAGTATAGCCAACTAATAATCTAAAAAATTATTAAACAGTTCTTTAAAAATTTCAAATAGCTTCAATAACATAAATAACTGTCAATTAGAGGCAAAGGATTGGGGACACCATGCATACTCTTCTAACTATTTCACATGTTATTATCGTTGGCATATTCTATGTATTCAGTAAAGTTTTGCAATCTTGTGCCTCTCATTTAATTCTTTTGTGTGAGAGAGGTGACAGACAGTGCTTTCTCTAGCATGACTAAATATGATGGAAAATGTAATGCAAATCTAAAAAACAAAGCAGTACACTTATTGAATGAAAATAAAGGATTATGTAAAAATCATCCATCTACCTTCACCACTTTAGATTCTGAGTCTAGGTTTATTACATTTGTCTGACAAATCAAATGAAAGGGAACACTATACTTTAGAAGCTGAGGCTGGATGAAAATGAGCAAATCGTGCAACAGCTTGCAAAAGACAGCAAGAGCAAACTTGAACCCAAACAGGCTTCCCAGTGTTTTTCTGAGAGAAGGTTTTTTCTCCTCTTTTCTCGTTGAGGTATTTTCGACGTCCTCATCAGGGCCACTGTCATCATCCAATAGTCTATCACTTTCATTGTATTCATCTTCATCTTTATGACTTCTTCTGTCTGAATTTCTAATCAAAATCAAATAAAAATAATTGACAGAAAAATCAAGCAATGTCCCATGAGATGATTCTTTAATACTCAACCTTAAACAATTTGAAGGGGTTCTTATAATTAGCTGCATTAACTCCTTAGAAGTAGAGAAAGTGGATAGAACTTAGAGTTGGGCACTCAGGTGTGATGAGTAAAGGGTTAGGAGTCAAGAATAAAGGGGAAAAGGTCAAGGGTCAGAGTTGAAGGGTGAGGGGTGATGAGTTGGTGCTTATTGGCGAGGTAACAATCGTAACTTGGAGGTGAGGAGAGGAAGAGGGCAGAAGGTAAAGGGAAGTTTTGATGGCAACAGGTTGGGCCCTGGTGAAAGGGATATAGAGATGGATACAACAGCTGAGGAATAGGAGTTGAGCCTTTTGGCAGTGTGTCTCCAAGGTGACACAAACAGAACTAACGATCAGTCATCCTCATAATACCAACTGAAAGGGAAAAACTAAGACAAGAGGAAGATGAAGGTGATTACAACTGGGCACAAAAGTTTTCATGACTCTCTGGCACATCAAGTAAACTTTCACATCCAGTCAAAACCACCATGTTATTTCCTTCTCACCCAATTATTTGCCTCAAGGATGATGATCAGTAAACATACAAGAAGCCAGGACTTAAGTTTTCACATTATTTTACAGTACACTTTATCTGGTTTCTTACATTTTTCTGCATTTCATTTGTTGTTCTGTCCATTTCTTTTTCAGTTTTGGGACAATATATGTTGCTTGATTTTCTCTCCGCAAGGCCCATAAATCCTTGTCCTTGAGTGGTCTTTTGTAACCAGTAGATATAATCCTGGAAAAAAATTAAAGTTATTGGCTATTTTTATTGACACTGGTGCACAGAGTTACACCAAGGGAAGAGGATTTACATCTGCAGACTAAGAATTCTCTAATTTATAGATAACGTCCAATATGAATCAAGTCTTTGATAATTTCTTGCAAAACCTCAATCATGGAGGACTACAGTAGTCCTTTCAAGATTGTATGATAGCCTGTTCTAGGTAATCAGATCACATAAACTATATCATTTCATACAAAAGTTCTCACCAGTTAAACCACCAAAATGTGAGCCTTGAGAGAAAGTTGGCTCTATCTTCAGGATTTTGTTTCTATATGAAATAAAACAAAACCACAGTCAATCAGTACCTTCACCAAAAAAACAGATTACAGATGTGATATTTTAGAGAAACAGGTGTAAAAGATTTCATTGATCAGTTGCAAAATTTAACCTACCCTTTTTACTTCTTCCCTCTTGGCAACCTCAGGAAAAGAAGCCCATCCATTGTCAACAAAATTTTCTGATTGAGTTTGGGAAGTCACAGCTTCAGAATTGATTGAACCATCTTCAACACGTACTTCCATTTTTACAAAAACTAATCTGAAATGAAAAAGAACAAAGCTGAGGTCAAAGTGTACTGCCCAACCCTTTAACTCCTATGAGTGATCAAGACAGAATTTCTCCTTACTACATCTATACAATATCATGAAAGCAAGTGATGAGAATAAAGGAAAACATCAATTAGTGGATTACTAATTGATCTGATACCAAATTATTCAAACTAACATAATTAGAATCGTTTGGCAGACAGTAAGGAGAATTACTTGTGAGATCTTAGGAGTTAAATGGTTAACAAATAGATTTCATGCTGTCATGTGTCTGTTTGGTAATAAATCACAGATGATGTCAAAATGTGGTAAGTGTTGGGAAAAAATGCATGCAAGGCACTGCTGAGTGTTTCACTGGTGTTCTTATCACATTTTGATGTCTTTTGTGATCTATTACTGTACAGACCACAACAACATAGAATCTATTTGCTTAATACAATAAAATGCAATGTTGTCTATGGCGATGTCATCTGTGCATCCTTCTTTCAAAAGATCATACTAACCAATCAAAATGTGTGTATTCAGCCTATGATATATAATGCTAATAGAACCGAGTGGAGTCCAATTCAGTCAGTAATCGTATGAGCGAATGACAAAATCATACGACTGTGAAGCAGGAGTCTGATTTGTTAATCATATATATGATTGGACGACACAATGTCCTGTTACCAATTAATCAAAACTATGACAAAATTTGAGAAAGAAATTAGAATTGGTTATACATTTTCATAAAAAAATATAATAGTTAAGTTGGCAATATGCAAGACAACAGCACGTGCACGTGACAGTTCAGAGTCCACTTACACAGACATGATGTATGAACTGTCCCTTTAACTGTCCTATTATGCTGTCCAATTACAAGCATGATGTGTACACTGTCCTATTTGTGCTCAAATCGGGCTGGTGATAACGGATTGCGTTCGATAATTTTGTTACAGTTTTGATTAAAATAGAAATTGATGTTTACTCCTGTTTAACACAACAGCCCACGGAGAAAGACTTAAAATTATCATTTTCTTAGTCATTCTAGGGACTAGGCAATTTAGTTCTGTGAGCAACTAAACAAAACAGGGCCAATGAGGTCCAGCTCAATTGTCAGCATGCTGTGAAGAACGAGGCAAAACTTAAAAGGATGTGCATTAATGACATGTACTTGTGTACATGTAACTGGCACATGTACAGCATTGGACATGTAGAATGTCAGAGATGCATTTAGTTTAAGCACCTGAGGACTGACAGTCTTCTGTGTAGCTTGACAATCTTCGCCGGCCAATTACGCACGCAATCGAGCCACAAAGTTTTTCTAAATCTAACTTCGACCGACATGAATTCGTACCAACAAATCCATAAGCCCACATACAAAAACAAGTTTAGCTTGTTTGTTTATATCCGGCATTGTTGTTACGATCTTAAGTTGTGCTACAAAAGGATTGTAACTCAGCAGCACCTTCTAGTATACGCAGAATAGTAATCTCGCTTAAGTAGTGCACATGTTACAAGTAAGTATGAAAAAATCATTCAATTCCAATTGTGATACGCTTACCAAGGTCGAGCCAGCCGGTAAATAGCGCAATACCTGCAAATCGTTGAGTTGTAGAGATTACGTGAAGATGTCAGCAAGCGATGCAGTGTAAACAAGATGGAGGGAAGACACCGGCTTGCTTCGTGTCACACGCCGATGATGACCTGAGGGCCGCTTGTTTTACACCACAGTGGTGCAATCCGCGATAACAGTCTGATCGCACAACTTTTCCCTGAGGAGTCTGGTACCTAACTGAAAACAAAATGGCGGCCGTTGCAATGCATTAGGACTAGCAGAAGTTTTACCTTCTGTTGTACTGTAAGACCACTCAGAATACTGTCTAATCTTCACCACATAAAAGAATACCCAGGAAAATTTTGCGGAGAAAGAAATCGTGTTCTTTTATAGAAAATGAATTCGCTTTTACCCAAAGTTCGTCGTGCCCACATGCTTGGAAATCAGTTGCGCGGTCACATCTCTAACAGTCTTCATGATAAATTCTTGTCTGTGGCTTTTCTGGGTTATTTCCCCGAAAGCTATCTCTTCCACACATCTGGATTATATGAAGCTCGTCCAAGTAATAAGAAAGCCGAGAGAACAGAGAAATCTAGAGAAACTTCTGGCAAGCTTCTGGAGAAGTTACGAAAGACACGCCTTGAGGGACTAGTAAACCCTGAGCCTGTGTCCACACCTGAAGAGAAACTCACCAAGCGAATTAGGAAGATACAGTCCATCAAGGGGCTTTTGCAGTTTTACTGGTTCAGAGTGAATAAAAAGCGAGAACTGACTCCTCTCCATAAATTCACAATTCTTGAATGTATCGTGGTGTATTTCTCGAAAAGCGTTCAGATGAGAGATGTGTTTTTGACTCAGCCTCTCCAACAGAGTTTGTTTGAGATGCTGGCGCAAGACGTCAGGGTACACCTTAATGACTTTGATGCGAATCAGATATACAACGTTGTAATTTACATGGCTAAATTGTGTGTTAAAGATCCTTCTATCTACGCGGATCTCGAAAGGGGAATTTTGTACCACAAACTCAGAGGATACTCTAACAAACAGCTGTCTCAGCTAGGCTGGGCATTCGCAAAATACTGTTTGCATACAAATGTTGTTGAAATATTCCATGCCTTAGATAAGGAGATTTTCTCAAGAGACATATCAAAATTTTCATCTGAAGAACTGTGCACTATAGCTTGGTCGTTTTCTGAGTTTGGCTTTCCCAAAGATAGGCAATTTTACAAGGCGATTGGTAGTGAGATTTTAACTCGAGATCTCAGCCAATTTAAGCCATGGACTCTGGCATCTCTGTCACTTTCTTACTCTAGAGCAGATGCTTTTGTAGCTGAAGTGTTTGAAGTGGTTGAAGAAGAGCTGTTACAGCGTGATGATCTCAAATCCTTTGCAACAAATGATTTGGTTATCCTTGTGTTGGCATTTGGTAGAGTTGGAAAGCTCCATCCTGAATTGTTCCAAAAGTTTGAAGTTACAATGGTGAAAAGAAGAGACTATGCTGAGACAGTTGTGAGGGAGTATTTGCAAGAAACTTACCATCTGTTAAAGAAAAGTGAGTTTCATCTAGCAGTTGTGGTCAAAATGATGGAGCGTGTATTAGACCCAGATGTGTGTAATTCTTTATTTGATATTCTGTTTCGCCCTCGTAGATCTTGGAAAGAAAAGGTTCTTCACCAGTACCTTTTTAAAGCTTACTAGGCAGTCAAAACATAGCATACATAAAGAATTATCTGTCTTTGAAAGATTGCCACCCTTCCATAATTCTGTGAGACCATCAGCAAGCCAGCCAGTCAGTCTGTCTGTTAGTCAGACTGTCTGTCAGTCGCACTGAGTTGATTGTCAGTTAGAAGAAGGGAAGGGTAGATTAAGATCACAGGCTGACTTTTTAAAATATTTCAACATGTTTTATATGTTTACCACTTAAAATGCTAGCCTTTTAAATTTTTCTGTTGTAAAGTCTCTAATTGTTAGTGAGTGAATGAGTGAATCAACCAGTCAATCTGTCAAAGAAATGTCTTTTTCTCCCATGAAAACTGCCAATGAGTGTCCTGTGTAGAAATGTCTTGTTCTTATAAAATGATGCCATAATTGCTTTTAGTGTTTGAAGGGATGTGATATGTTTTATTGTGTAATGAAAATTTATTAATCACTATTTTTTACACTTTGTTATTTTCTTAAAAAGTTTTAATCTCATTGGTTTTTTTGTGTGGGGGGGGGGGGAGAGGGAAGAAATTACAGGCCTTTCTGATCAATCCTCTCTGAAATCCTTAGAGAGGATAGCATCCACTGCTTCCTAATCTTATGTGTTCAATCAATGGTTAATGGTTATCAGGGATAAAAAGTGTTGCAACAGATTAAGGTTTTATGGATCAATGTGTCAGTTTCTGAGTAACTGCGCACCTGCTTGTCCTCTAGCCCAACAACAGTTGACTTGAAGTTAGTCAGGGTTAATATTAGGTTAGGGAAGAGGTGGCTCAGATACTGCTCAGATAAGCTCAGATATGCTGAGATACTGCTAAGATACACACAGATATGCTGAGAAACTGACATTGATCTGGTTTTTTTTTTAATAACAAGCTTGCTATTAATTTACTGATTTTGTAAAGACTCGCCTTGTGCTTGTGATTGTGATTTTCTAACTTTCCTGTTGTTTGCTCAAAGTTCTTCTTTGGTTTTTGTGTGGGAAAAATGTGCCCTTTTGAGTAACTTGCTTTAATAACCCTTTAACTCCCAAGATCTCATTAGTAATTCTCCTAACTGTCTGCTATACAGACATAGTTTGAAGCTACACTGGTTTGCAGATTTAATGAATGTAACCGAAGAAGTTACAATTCATAGACCCAACGTTTCGACACTCCTGTCTAGTGCCTTCATCAGGGGTGATCTAAACGCTGCAACAAGAGGTCCTTTTATATGATCACTAATTAGCGGCCTTTTTTCTGACGAGGTGTAAATAGGCGTCAGGAAGCAGACCGCCATCGTCACGATTTAAAGGAGCGTGGGCGGAGTTAATGTGCCAAGCCTCCAAACAAAGGCGCTGGTGGTAACGCCGATTAGTAGTGATAATTTTAGAATTATCCCACCCAATTGTATGGTTGGTTAGGCAAGTATGCTCCGATAAAGCTGAATTTTCCTTTTTGCAAAGAAAAACCGCTTTTTGGTGCTCTTTTAACCGTGTACCAAACTGGCGTTTGGTCTGTCCGATGTATTCGTTATCACAGTCATTGCAAGGAATAGAATAAATGGCGTCGGTTCGTTGTTCTTTCGTGACAGGATCCTTAGGTTTGGCGAAAATATGCCCCAAAGTCTGAAAAGGTTTTTGAGCAACTTTAACGTTGTGGCTATTCAAAATTCTCTTGATGGGTTCAGTAACACCCTGTATGTAAGGAATAACAGCAAAACCAGTCGCTGGTTCCCTTTCATCAAGAGCGTTACTATTTGTAACTGGTTTTTGGCAGTTACGGAGAAAAGTTTTTGTATAGCCATTTGCCTTTAGGACATTGGAAACATATTTCCTCTCCTCAGCCTTCGAATCGAGTGATGATGGTAGATGGCCTCCTTGTTTGGAGGCTTGGCACATTAACTCCGCCCACGCTCCTTTAAATCGTGACGATGGCGGTCTGCTTCCTGACGCCTATTTACACCTCGTCAGAAAAAAGGCCGCTAATTAGTGATCATATAAAAGGACCTCTTGTTGCAGCGTTTAGATCACCCCTGATGAAGGCACTAGACAGGAGTGTCGAAACGTTGGGTCTATGAATTGTAACTTCTTCGGTTACATTCATTAAATCTGCAAACCAGTGTAGCTTCAAACTATGTCTGATTGTCCACCTGGTTGCCGTGTGAACTTTAATATATTTGTCTGCTATACAGTTCTTGTTTTGTTAGTTCGGAGAATTTAGTATTGAATCAACTTACAGTCCCTAATTTTAATTTTTCTTTATTCTTATCACTTGTCTCCTTGATATTGTAGTAATATTGTAAGGAGAAATTCTATCTTGGTCACTCATGGGAGTTAAAGGGTTAAGTAGATCTAACTGGCTCCTTTTTTAACAGATGTTTCTGAAATTCACTAAACATTTAAACACATGCACCATGTTATTGAATATTCACTTCCATTCAAAATACCAAAATGACTTATTTCTTCATCTTTTAGCATTCATAATAGATGAACACCAATAAGAGTTAATCTTTTTTATTTGCAAACAACAACAACACTTGATTAATAACTCTTTGCTCAAAGGCTTGTGTTTACCATCAAAAGGAATTGCAAAATCCCCCTTTAAGACCTAAATGTAGTGCAATAGCTCAAGAATATTCTAGAACTTAATTGTCACGCAACAACTAAGGAATGTTTGAGGTCACCACAATCTCATGCCCAGTCGAATTTCAATAGCACCAACTATAACGTTACCAAACTTCAGTGCGGTCAAAAGACTGGCACCAAGACCAACTCTACTGCCAATCTCACCTAAGTAGGGAAGAGATGGAAGAAAGTCAAAGAGCACTGATATGAAATTAACATTTATGACTTTGACTTTCTTACCAATAATATTTCCACTTAAGCTTTCTAAAGTGCATTTGTACAGTTGAGAGTTGGTTGAGGACTATGTTAACTGACATCTTTCAATCTATGATGATATACAAGTCATTTTGATAAATTATGAAAACGGGGCTTCTCTTGTTTTCTGCTGTGCAGAAGCTAAGAAAGGTGTCATATATGATCCAAATGTTTCTTTGAAATTGAAAAATATGCAATACAATTATAATAGCAATTCTATTTAGAGAAGAAATCTGCCGACCGGAAAGCAGGAAATCGCAGGAAACCGCAACATTGGGTAGGGGTAGGTGCGCAGCTGCCCAGAAACAGTGTGGAGATAGTAGCTTGGCAAAACAAAGAAAGGAAACAACAAAGGGAGTTACTGGATGCGAAAATAACAACATCAGCAGCAAATAGCGACAGTAACAGGTGTAACAAGCCAGAACGGGCAATGTAGAGGAGAACACATACAAAACCAAGATGTCGGACCAACAAGATATATTTAATATAAGTAAACAGATGTCGTCAGCGGACCATGAGGTCGCGACAGTGTCACGCAATATTGTTACAACAGGTTTTAAGCCCGCAAAAAGAGACCAAAAAATTTGCGTTTCAAAAAAGTTTCGAAGTCATTGATCTTACCTGAATTAAACGTGTGGCAGAGCCCCATGGGAGTCACAACTGTCCTGTGATCGCATGTTGGTTTTTCGTTCCAAAGACAGCTGTGCATTAATTAAGTGTCGTCGATTTGATGACCCGCAAGGTGAAGAAATTGTGTAGGGTTCGAGATTGTTTAATTGCGTAACCCTTTAGCCTTTAAGAGTGACTAACATCTAATTTCTCCTTACTATATCACCACTGAATCAGACATGAAGTTATGAGAATGGAGGAGATGATCACCAACTAAAGCAACTCTTGACTGTTAAACAAATTCTCCTTGTCAGCCTCTGGAAATGTACGGAGAACAGTATGAAGAAGATGCATAATGATCTAAGAGGGTAAAGGGTTAAAATGCTCTCAGTTGAAACAGTACCTTGTATTATTGACTTAAAATACTAGTAAAAAAAAGCTGATCGCTCCCATTTACTTTAGCCACAGGCTGACTTTCTGATTATGTTAAAGTTGCAGATAGTCACGGATGGAAAATCCGTGATGGCCTCGTGTTTCGAACTGACTTTAGTCGTGACCGGGAATTTGAAATACTTCTTTAGCAACATAAATGTCTGAAATGAAAAGCACGACATTGCCTGTAAAAGAAGCACAGTCCAGTGGACGCGGTGAATCCATAGTGTTTCGGTAAAAACGTGTTGTAGACCATGGAGAGTAGAACTGTATACAAAGTGACTGGATCATTCTCGTATTGCACCTGCCACGGACACGTTTTCGTGACTCTCCGCGTAAAATTCTTGGTCAATTTTGCTGTTCCTACATGCTGTACTTCGTTTTGGATCCTGGTACTGTAATTCGATTTCTGACTTTTCTTGAAACCATATTGCTACTTGGTTGAGCTCTCAGGCCGTTCAGACTTATAATCTTTCGATTAAAATCAATGTTACATAATGTGGAAATGTTAACCTTACCTAGAAACGGTGGTTTTAATTTGACGTTGTTTTTAGAGCACAGGCACTTAGTATTGTAATCATAGAAAGGAAACACCTATACTCCTCTGATAATCATAACACTTCTTTGAGGCAAGTAAACAAATCAGCTCGGCAATTTGTTCATTATTTTGTAGCTTACTGCACACGTGTCTTGAGTGTGACTTTCTGAATGAAAAAAATCTCAATTGCCCGTTGCTATTTAACTTCGTTCGACACCAATTCTCCTCCTGAAGTGGAAAGGGGAAATCTCGAAAAAGACCTCAAAGAAAGGTAATTGTGCCAAACCTGTAGTTAAAAGTTTTATTAAAATCCTGACAGTGGAAATAGAGATAAAAAGAAATGTTGACAAAATCAATTGAATCAATTGAATCAATTTCAATTGAAATTCAAATTAACATTTTCAAAACACTTTCAACTGAAATGCTCCAGAACAGCAAAGGCTCTGAAAAACTATTCACATTTGCTCTGTTTGTTCAAAAAAGCTAGCCGTTCACACGAGCTAACATTTGCGTTGATGCTTACTTTTTGAAATTAAAGTCGTTCACCGTAGTGGAATAATACATATGAGCCTGAAAAAAGAGGCATATGGGAGTTTTACCAAGTCTATTCAATGTTTTCTTCTCTACTGGAACAAATTTTCTTATTGGCTTCTTTTCCCTTTACTTTCAAGATTCCCGAAATTGCAACAGAAGTGCAAATTAAACTGGTTCCTAACTTGTAACTTTGGCTTTTAAATCTTAGACAATTCTCCACCCTTAAGATTTAGAGGTTGCATTTGTATCCTTTCTGTTTTGAAGGGACTTGAAAGATTTGAAGGAGGCCTACTTTGGGACCTTAAGTCGCCGTAACTTTAGGCGACTTAAGGCGACTTTAGCAAAATTGGCACAAAAAATATTGCGACTTTAGGCGATTTAAGGCGACTTAAGGTCTCAGAGTAGGCCTTTACATTCTCTAATCGCAATGACATTTTCAGCGATGTTTTACCAGGAGGAAAATGCCTACCATCCATAATGTGAACTTTATATTGGCATTCTGTAATGGTTTAATTGTGGAGACTAATCTTTCTCCTTTTATCTCATATGCACAGCCAGTGGTTATTGAGTTCTTCGCAATCAACCTTAGCACCTCGCGTATGAATAACAAATTGATATGAACGATATCCTAAACTCGAACAAGCTTATTAGCAACTCCGCAGAGAACATGTTACTAAGTTAGTGCAAATATTAATAGAACCTCTCTTTAAACAACTAGTCTTGTATTTGAATACAGAAGTGACTTCATAAAACTACTTCCTATCCAGTCTCTCCAACTACTTTTCTAGCTGCAGAAAACTATGATTGAAGTGGAGTGGATAAGGTCAATTGGGAAGGGTTGAACCCTTATGACATTGCGTAACCAATAGCAACCTAAGGAAACTTAAGGTGGCTTAAGGTGACTTTAGGCGACTTAAGGCGACTTAAGGCGACTTAAGGCGACTTACTGGTGACTTAAGGCGACTTAAGGCGACTTAAGGTGACTTAAGGCGACTTAAGGCGACTTAAGGTCTCAGAGTAGGCCTTGAAGGCGCTCTTTAGAATACTTTTTATTTGGGGGAGACATGGCACAGTACTTAGTACTGAAGAATTTTGATGCTGTTGACAGTCTCTCCTTTGCTCTCTTCTCTTTCCACTTACACAATTTGATTTTGCTTTGCATCATTAGCATCTCATTCAATTCCTAACTCATATAAAACACAGATCTATGGAAAATGTTTTAGTCTTAAAAACATGTTCTGAAGTGAAAAAGTGTTCATCTCAACCCCATTTGTATCCTTACGATACCAAGTATGACGTCACAGAACTCAAGCACGGTCAGGAGACTGGCACCGACACAAAGACCAACTTGACCGCCGATTTCGCCTGAGAATAAGAAAAAGAGACAATTCATTCACGTGAAAGAAATCTGCGTGACAGCAAAGGCTCGAGATGATGTACCGGGGCTTTAGCGTGAAATTTCAGCAAATGGCGTCTTTATGAGTAACGGAGTGCAGTAGAAGCACAAGTTTAAATACAAAATAGACACTTATCCTCAAAGATTAAGAAGAAAGTTGATGTTTACATATGAAGAGATGAACTTACCTAACAAACTTTCCAATTCATAGGCCGGTGTTTCCTCAATAACCTGGTAATTCAAATCCTGGAAATAAACACGCAGCTCTAGAAAATTCTGCCTGTAAAAATAAAATTACTTATTGAATTATAAAGAATAAGGTGGATTCAGTTCAATCAAATGAATTTATAGTAAAAAAATAGAAATCCATCAACTGATCAAATATCAAAAGGTGATAATGAACAAGTTGTTGACATACAAATATGCTTAACTTTAAAATTAGGTCAGTCAGCCTGAAAAATAAAAATTCGACCCACAATCAGGAACAACCCACAAAAGTTTTAGTTTTCTGGAATTTTTGAGGTGGACGAGGGGGAAGTCGGAATCGTCGCAGGAGGGGGGGGGGGGGTCGGGTTTAAGCCCTACTTTCCACAACTTATTAGACTTGTTCTCTTTGCCTTAAGTTAAACTCCTTGGGTGCGCTATATCTATAGTCAACTGGTATGTTTAAAAGCCCCATTAGGGAAGAGGTCAATTCACGTTATCATTATTATCATTGTTAATACTTACATTAGCTGTGATCGCGACACAAAATTTTTTATCTTTTTTTCCTCAAGATCGAGTTTACAGGAAAAGTGATTAGTTACAATCAGAGTTTATCTTTACCGTATATATATATAGTTTCCATAAACGTTAGGCTTTGTCCAACAAACTTAATTTACATACGATTACCTTAACCATTCTTGTGTTTGTTTGATTCTTTCAGATGTCCAGTAAGTGTTATTCTCCCCTGCTTTGAAAAACCGCGACAAATATCCTTCGCTAGGGAACGCAGCGTATGACAAGTAGGGTTCATAGGAAATCGCACCACAGGGCACTGGACAATCACACTGATTTTTCTTTAAGGTTTGAAAGTTAGCTGGAATATGAAATAATGAGGAGGCAATGGCATCAGGTTGCTCAAATATTAGAAATACATCATAAAGCCCTGGGCGGATAACGCTATCCAGCAAAAAAGTGTCTGAAAAAAAAACAAACAAACAAACAAACCAAAAAAAGAAAAAAACAGGCGTGCTGCGCTATCCAGCAAATGAAGATTTATCCAGTGGATAGCGAACAACCGAGGCCAGAAGTAAATTGGAAACATATATGATATACACGAACCTTGAGCTTTAAGAAGGCAAGTCAACTCTTTTTTGGTTTTGCAGGGTTTGGTGCCGTTCAGTCCTGTTGAAACAGGATGTAATTAAAGTATTTACAGTGCGAACTTATGGCACTAGCTGGTGCATGAACAGCAATGTGTTGAATTACTAAAGGCACGCTCGCACAACGAATGTGAAGCGGATAAGTTAATTGAATAGTTATGAGTTGCCCTAATGATTAATTCTTTACTTTTCAAAGTTCCTATTTTTACAACGGTGGAGAATACGTCATTTTTCCCTCTCTTTATGTTGTCTGCCTTACTATTTCGTATCAACCAAAAATTCGTCTCGAGCTTAAACAATTTTCAGAAGTCTATTAAGGGTATGATTTAGGTATAAATTTCACACATTTTTCAAATGCCACTACTTTGGTTTAAGGTCTATTCAACTTTTCAACCTTGCAGAGAGAATTCCAAGCAGTCTTATCACCCTCTTGACCAAATTTATTTAACGTCACCTCTTCATTGCAGACAGGAAAGTATCAGTTCGGGGATTACTTTCTTTCATGAAACGTTAGCAAACTTCCAGAAGATTTCTGAGTGAAATCCCTCCTCCCCCCCTCCCCCCCCCCCTTGAATGTCAATTTGTAAGTGTATTATCGTTCCAAACGAGAAATTACCAAGGTAGGCTCAATAATTAAGAAGAGTATCATTTGAAAACTCACCGGACATTTCCATGTTTCTACAACCGCATTCTTTTATCAAAGACCTGGCCTCACAGAGCGACAAACATGATGAAATTGTGTACGTCGTGTGATCAGTTATGGCATCCATCTTTCCATCGTAGCAGTTGCTTTCGTACGGTTTTGGGAGATTTATAACCTTCAACAAGTAGACGGAGGGATGGAAAAGCTCAAGGATTATTTTGTAGAACGAATTTATTTTTTGTTTGACTTATGATTTGATACAACAAACTCGAGCCTTAAGTGACATTAAAACTGAAACAAAAAAAAAAAAAAACAAAAAGAAAGAAAGAAAGAGAAGAAGGACGAAAACCTCGAGGTGTTTCAGATTGGAAAAGGGCTGTAGGAAAAGAAGAATTGTTGCCTTTTTTTTGACACGTTTAAATACTAATGTGAAAGTTGTTTCATAAGCTGTGAACAAGAAATATCTGAAAGCCATTTTGGATTACCTCTATTTAGTCCACGTATTCATAGTCGTAAGTAACAAATCACTGCTGATTTCGAGATGTACTTTTAACAAAGTGATTAAAAAAGAACGATGAGATTGTGTCAAAAAAAAAGAAGATAATGTGGTCTCAGGGGCTTGCTGATCAAGTAATTAATAAACTAAATTAATGATCTGGATTGCAATCGGTCGTAGGACTGTCCCGATTGTGCTTGTAAAATTCTGGAAAGTTGCTCACCGGAATGCTTAAACGATGCTAAAGAGATGCCAAATCCAAAAAGTTGCCAGCTGAATTTCTTGATATTCTAATATAAACATTAATTAAGTGCTTTATTTTTCGTTCTTCACAATAAATGCTAACATCGGTCAAGAAAAAACAGCTTGAACCTAGCTTTAAGGAGTTGCTCGCAAATAGGGACGAAATTTAAGGATACTCCAAACGTCAAAGCTTGCCCAAAACTTTCCGAGCACAATCGGGAAAGGCCCATTCGGTTGCTACGGTTATGATATTTACACAGACCGCTCTCCTTCCTTATATAACTTACCCTCTTTTTTCGTATCCCTGCAAATACACTTGTGCCAGGACCAACAGAAAATCCAAGCCGACCAACTATAGGCAGAGTATTCTGACGATGAACACGTATCTTGAGGCCGGCGCTGATTGCTTGAATTCCAAAATATTCATATTGTTGTACGTTTAGTATCAAAGAAAGTCCAGAGTCTGCTCCTGCCTCATTGACCTTCAAAACACTTTGACCATCTTTCCCTGAAAAATCTGAGAATCAATCACTCAATCCATCCACCCATTGGTCGGTCCGTCCCTCCGTACGTACGTAAGTCCCTCAACTTATCCATATTAATAAATTATAATCATTTAAAGTAAACAATTTCACCGAACATGAATTTTCCGTCAAACAGTAATCGTAACAGTGATCTACATGGATTAAATCTTTGCGTCTTGGCAAACGTTCCAGCTCACTCGGTTGTAATTATAGATCGACTTGAAAACAACAACAAAATAACACAAATTACAGCCCTGATGCTTCGAAAATAAAGCATCTGCATAAATAATGAAGACCTTGGCAGATTCTCAAAGAAAAAAAGAAGGCTTGTTAAGATCAAGAAATCCCAAAACATACCTGAATTAAATGTGTGGCAAAGCCCCATAGAGGTCAAAACTGGAGTGAAATTCCTGTAATCGCAGGTCTGTTTACCGTTCCACCGACAAGAATGCATAGTATCATTGATTTGATGTCCCGCATCGAATAAAAATTGTGTTAAGTTGGTTAGTGTGCTGAAGTCTACATTTTCATATGTAGCTCCACCCAGTCCTAACGAAGTCAAATGTTTAACAACAGAACTTCTGTACTTGTTGAAGTTGCAAATAGTCACGGCTGGGAAATCCGGCATCGAATCGTATTTCAAACTGACTTTTGTGGTGCTTGGGAAGCTGAAATACTTCTTTAACATGCTGATGGACTGATATGAAAAAAACGCAATTGCCGTCAAAAGAAACACAGCCCAGAGAATGCGACGAATCCTCGATTTACCGGTAACCACATAAGATAAACCATGAAGAGTTGCATTTTCCACGAAACCATTCCATAGTTGCCTGATTGCAGACGTCTTGGACGCGTCTTCCCCAGACACGTCGTTACCCTCGGGGTTGATTTTGTTCCAAGCTGTGCCATTTATTTTTGAACCATTTCGTAGTAATCCAGCAGTTCCTGACATCTCTAAAACAACAAAACCGTCAGGTTGAATTTTCGAAGCATTCATTTTTGTTTTTTCTTTTTTTTAAATCAGAGTTAACCAATTTTGAATCGTAGCTTTGCCTGCTTGTATGCGTGCGGTGATTTTAATACCAATAGGAGTAGTTTATCTGCTTTTAGGAGGGCCAGACCAATCACACAGCGGCATTTTTTATTACGTGACTAAATATGAATAATTTTACTGTCGACTTTGAAATTATCGCGACTGAATAACAGTCGTGACTGCCTGGCGACTAATGACAAAACACTCGGTTCTTCGTAAAAACAACAGCTGGATACACAATAATAAAAATGCGAAAAAAGGAAAAAATGGAAAGCGAGGTAGCAGAAAATCACTTTTGATGATCCTCATTTGACAAAATGGAATTAAATCGAGAAGGTCAAGTTTTAAAACCTTTTGTTGGCGTCACGAATCCTATTTTTTTAAATTTCTTTTTTAATTTAACAATTTGCCAATGGTAGGTAAACTTACAATAGGACAAGTTTATCCCCTACCTGGTAAATTACCTTTCTCTAACCCCTACAAACAGACAAAATTGAAACCCAACCGACTTATAAGCCCCCATGCTAGGAAATAACAACATATATAATCATTGACGAAAGAGAAAAAGAAAAAAAAACTAGTTGATTAACATGCACAGGAATTAAGAGCATTGAAACGACGAGGGAGAGGGAAGAAATTACAGGCCTTTCTGATCAATCCTCTCTGAAATCCTTAGAGAGGAAAGCATCCACTGCTTCCTAATCTTATGTGTTCAATCAATGGTTAATGGTTATCAGGGATAAAAAGTGTTCCAACAGATTAAGGGTTTATGGATCAATGTGTCAGTTTCTGAGTAACTGCGCACCTGCTTGTCCTCTAGCCCAACAACAGTTGACTTGAAGTTAGTCAGGGTTAATATTAGGTTAGGGAAGAGGTGGCTCAGCTACTGCTCAGATAAGCTCAGACATGCTGAGGTACTGCTAAGATACACACAGATATGCTGAGATACTGACATTGATCTGGTTTTTTTATAGCAAGCTTGCTATTAGTTTACTGATTTTGTAAAGACTTGCCTTGTGCTTGTGATTTTCTAACTTTCCTGTTGTTTGCTCAAAGTTCTTCTTTGGTTTTGTGTGGGAAAAATGTGCCCTTTTGAGTAACTTGCTTTAATAACCCTTTAACTCCCAAGATCTCATTAGTAATTCTCCTAACTGTCTGCTATACAGTTCTTGTTTTGTTAGTTTGGAGAATTTAGTATTGAATCAATTTACAGTCCCTAATTTAATTTTTTTCTTTATTCTTATCACTTATCTGCTTGATATTGTATTAATATTGTAAGGAGAAATTCTATCTTGGTCACTCATGGAAGTTAAAGGGTTAAGTAGATCTAACTGGCTCCTTTTTTAACAGATGTGTCTGAAATTCACTAAACATTTAAACACATGCACCATGTTATTGAATATTCACTTCCATTCAAAATACCAAAAGGACTTATTTCTTCATCTTTTAGCGTTCATAATAGATGAACACCAATAAGAGTTAATCTTTTTTATTTGTAAACAACAACAACAACACTTGATTAATAACTCTTTGCTCAAAGGCTTGTGTTTACCATCAAAAGGAATTGCAAAATCCCCCTTTAAGACCTAAATGTAGTGCAATAGCTCAAGAATATTCTAGAACTTAATTGTCACGCAACAACTAAGGAATGTTTGAGGTCACCACAATCTCATGCCCAGTCGAATTTCAATAGCACCAACTATAACGTTAACAAACTTCAGTGCGGTCAAAAGACTGGCACCAAGACCAACTCTACTGCCAATCTCACCTAAGTAGGGAAGAGATGGAAGAAAGTCAAAGAGCACTGATATGAAATTAACATTTATGACTTTGACTTTCTTACCAACAAAATTTCCACTTAAGCTTTCTCAAGTGCATTTGTACAGTTGAGAGTTGGTTGAGGACTATGTTAACTGACATCTTTCAATCTATGATGATATACAAGTCATTTTGATAAATTATGAAAACGGGGCTTCTCTTGTTTTCTGCTGTGCAAAAGCTAAGAAAGGTGTCATATATGATCCAAATGTTTCTTTGAAATTGAAAAATATGCAATACAATTATTAATAGCAATTCTATTTAGAGAAGAAATCTGCCGACCGGAAAGCAGGAAATCGCAGGAAACCGCAACATTGGGGAGGGGTAGGTGCGCAGCTGCTCAGAAACAGTATGGAGATAGTAGCTTGGCAAAACAAAGAAAGGAAACAACAAAGGGAGTTACTGGATGCGAAAATAAGAACATCAGCAGCAAATAGCGACAGTAACAGGTTTTAAGCCCGCAAAAAGAGACCAAAAAATTTGCGTTTCAAAAAAGTTTCGAAGTCATTGATCTTACCTGAATTAAACGTGTGGCAGAGCCCCATGGGAGTCACAACTGTCCAGTGATCGCATGTTGGTTTTTCGTTCCAATGACAGCTGTGCACTAATTAAGTGTCGTCGATTTGATGACCCGCAAGGTGAAGAAATTGTGTAGGGTTCGAGATTGTATAATTGCATAACCCTTTAGCCTTTAAGAGTGACTAGCATCTAATTTCTCCTTACTATATCACCACTGAATCAGACATGAAGTTATGAGAATAGAGGAGATGATCACCAACTAAAGCAACTCTTGACTGTTAAACAAATTCTCCTTGTCAGCCTCTTTGGAAATGTATGGAGAACAGTATGGAGAAGATGCATAATGATCTAAGAGGGTAAAGGGTTAAAAATGCTCTCAGTTGAAACAGTACCTTGTATTATTGACTTAAAATACTAGTAAAAAAAAGCTGATCGCTCCCATTTACTTTAGCCACAGGCTGACTTTCTGATTATGTTAAAGTTGCAGATAGTCACGGATGGAAAATCCGTGATGGCCTCGTGTTTCGAACTGACTTTAGTCGTGACCGGGTAGTTGAAATACTTCTTTAGCAACATAAATGTCTGAAATGAAAAGCACGACATTGCTTGCAAAAGAAGCACAGTCCAGAGGACGCGGTGAATCCATAGTGTTTCGGTAAAAGCGTGTTGTAGACCATGGAGAATAAAACTGTATAGAAAGAGACTGAATCATTCTCTTATTGCACCTGCCACGGACACGTTTTCGTGACTCTCTGCGTAAAATTCTTGGTCAATTTTGCTGTGCCTACATGCTGTACTTCGTTTTGGATCCTGGTAGTGTAATTCGATTTCTGACTTTTCTTGAAACCATATTGCTACTTGGTTGAGCTCTCAGGCCGTTCAGACTTATAATCTTTCAATTATTGGCAGGTAAAAAATCGGCTCGGCAATTTGTTCATTATTTTGTAGCTTACTGCACACGTGTCTTGAGTATGACTTTCTGAATGAAAAAATTCTCAATTGCCCGTTGCTATTTAACTTCGTTCGACACCAATTCTCCTCCTGGAGTGGAAAGTGGAAATCCCGAAAAAAGACCTCAAAGAAAGGTAATTGTGCCAAACCTGTAGTTAAAAGTTTTATTAAAATCCTGACAGTGGAAATAGAGATAAAAAGAAATGTTGACAAAATCAATTGAATCAATTGAATCAATTTCAATTGAAATTCAAATTAACATTTTCAAAACACTTTCAACTGAAATGCTCCAGAACAGCAAAGGCTCTGAAAAACTATTCACGTTTGCTCTGTTTGTTCAAAAAAGCTAGCCGTTCACACGAGCTAACATTTGCGTTGATGCTTACGTTTTGAAATTAAAGTCGTTCACCGTAGTGGGATAATGCATATGAGCCTGAAAAAAGAGGCATATAGGAGTTTTACCAAGTCTATTCAATGTTTTCTTCTCTACTGGAACAAATTTTCTTATTGGTTTATTCTCCCTCTACTTTCAAGATTCCCGAAATTGCAACAGAAGTGCAAATTAACCTGGTTCCCAACTGGTAACTTTGGCTTTTAAATCTTAGACAATTCTCCACCCTTAAGATTTAGAGGTTGCATTTGTATCCTTTCTGTTTTGAAGGCACTTGAAAGATTTGAAGGAGGCCTACTTTGGGACCTTAAGTCGCCGTAACGTTAGGCGACTTTGGGCGACTTAAGGCGACTTTAGCAAAATTGGCACAAAAAATATTGCGACTTCAGGCGATTTAAGGCGACTTAAGGTCTCAGAGTAGGCCTTTACAATCTCTAATCGCAATGACATTTTCAGTGATGTTTTACCAGGAGAAAAATGCCTACCATCCATAATGTGGACTTTATATTGGCATTCTGTAATGGTTTAATTGTGGAGACTAATCTTTCTCCTTTTATCTCATATGCACAGCCAGTGGTTATTCAGTTCTTCGCAATCAACCTTAGCACCTCGCGTTTGAATATCAAATTGATATGAACGATATCCTAAACTCGAGCAAGCTTATTAGCAACTCCGCAGAGAACATGTTACTAAGTTAGTGCAAACATTAATAGAACCTCTCTTTAAACAACTAGTCTTGTATTTGAATACAGAAGTGACTTCATAAAACTACTTCCTATCCAGTCTCTCCAACTACTTTTCTAGCTGCAGAAAACTATGATTGAAGTGGAGTGGATAAGGTAAATTGGGGAGGGTTGAACCCTTATGACATTGCGTAACCAATAGCAACCTAGGGAAACTTAAGGTGGCTTAAGGTGACTTTAGGCGACTTAAGGCGACTTAAGGCGACTTAAGGTGACTTAAGGCGACTTAAGGCGACTTAAGGTGACTTAAGGCGACTTAAGGTGACTTAAGGTGACTCAAGGCGACTTAAGGCGACTTAAGGCGACTTAAGGTGACTTAAGACGACTTAAGGTGACTTAAGACGACTTAAGGTGACTTAAGGTGACTTAAGACGACTTAAGGTGACTTAAGACGACTTAAGGTGACTTAAGGCGACTTAAGGCGACTTAAGGTGACTTAAGGCGACTTAAGGTGACTTAAGGCGACTAAAGGCGACTTAAGGTCTCAGAGTAGGCCT